AAGGCGGAGAGGAGTGTAAATTGGATTGAAAGTTTATTGTGTGAGTAAACCTCTAACTGCCTGCTATCATTAGCTGATATGGCGTATCCTGTAATGTGGCAGTAAAGTGGATAGCAAATAAGGAAACTGAGCCACTTGACAGGTTTATAGCTAGCTATAGTGATAAAATACTCACTTAGCTAATTTGGTGTCTCTTAGATGGGGTGAGGATTGCAGAAATGTCTGTAAAGGTTTGGCAGGCTACCTGTAAGTTTAAATAAAATGGTATAACCAACAAGATGTTCTGGCAAGAATTAATCCCTTACTTTCCTTTTATATGACACTGACCGAATAGAAAAAGAAACAAATATGGGGGGGGGGGGTTTGGATACACAGACTCACACAGCAAGGTGAGCAAATAAGCCCTCTTTTCAAAATAAGGAAATTAGGCTAAAACGGCCAAGAAAAGATTGTTTTGAAATATTAAATATCTATTTAATTAAAATATATTGTGTGGAATGGTCCAATAATTAATGAGTGAAGAATTATAAAATATTTGGAAGGAAACAACTGTGGACTAGTTTGAGGTATGATCCTGGCATTTGTCTGGAAGGCTTGGCCTCATCGCCATCTGTGAGCCGATTGTCTAGAAAATTTGGGACCCTCGACATCTCACAACCCTATGGGCCTCCATGGCCTGTTACAAGGATAACTTTACCTTTTTACTACCCATTGTTTTGTATGGATTAAAACATTTGAGGCCTAAACAAAGTGTTGATGCATTATGGAATATAGTACCTTCTTCACTCATGGTGCTCGAGAATTACATATGCAGAAATGGAAAGGTATATTTCAGATGTTCTAGCTGCTCCATATAAGGAGCAGAAGGGAAAACTGTAGCAAGCTCACTAGGCGAACAGGAAATGTTTGTCTTCTAGAAGAAGAGTTTGATAGTTCTTCATGTTTTTTTAATATTATCTCAGTAAGATTTATTTTGTGAAAAGAAATTCTGTTTTATAAGACTTGCGGTTTCCGATATAATTAAGCGTGGAAGCAAACATACCAGAGTCGGTATATTGTGGGTTATTTCCGAACCTGCTTTCCTCTGGGACATGCTGGAGAAGTATGCGTATTTGTGCATTACACTTTTGTCGCTGATCGATATGAGAAATGGGGGAAACATACAGAGAAATAACCAGGACCAAATAAAAGAAAATAACCAGGATTTAAACCAGTGCTGTCTGTTTACAATTTTTATTTTCGGGGATGAATTAGATTTCTGTAATACATATACCAAGTGTCAGCATTAATCCCATTTGAAAGTTCTTGAAAAAGACTTGGTGGTTGGTCAGAATACTCCATGAATATGTGTAATTAATATAAATTAACTGTAACATTAATAACTTGATTTTAAAAATGCATTACAACTTTACTGGAGTCATTCCTTTGTGAACCAATGGAATGGCCTTGGTGAGATCAGAAATTCTTAAATTGTAGTTACACCATTTTCTTGTATATCTACACTGAATATTGTGATGTAGCAATTAATGTTCCTTCTTCATTCAGAATTTTTGGACTTTGTCCATCGTCCGATATTCTAAAAACTAGAAACACAACGTTTTAGAAACTGGATCTGTTCCATCCTCAGTTGAAGGAGTAGACACATACTCCGTGATTGAGGTTAATTCTTTCTAAGGGACCCAACAGGGTAGGAGTCTCCCCCTCACCTGAGGATGGAAACAAATCCAGTTTCTACTACGTTGTGTTCTCTAGGTTTGGGGATACAGGATGATGAGCAAAGTCCAAAAACCCAGCAATTCTGCATGTTATACACCATCATCAAAACCCCATTCCTGCGTCATATTCAGGAGATCCCAGAGTGGAATCTTGATGACTGCTTTTTGTAATTCCAGTGTATCATTCATAATTATATATATTACAAGCAGTTATATAATATTTGCAGTTAAGTACTGCTAAAATCAAGAAATTAAAAAATTGTGCAGCTCCTTGATGTGAATGGTCAGTACCCCCGTGATGCTCTCCACTAATCAGTTGTAGTAACAGCTGTTGTTATGTTTACACTTTCGCAAGGTGCTAAATGTGCCTGAACCGAAAAGCCAGTACTTCAGATTTTCTCTGTTGATGTATGCAGCCTTAGATACATAGCAGTAGTTGAATATACAGTGGTTAAAATAACTTTTAGTTTCCTCCTGTTGGTACTTCATTTTGATGTTTCATATATTTACTGTGACCTAATAGAGATTAAACATGTGAAAATGTATTGTAAAGGGGTGAGGATCGGTGAGGAGTGTCAGAGATCGTAATCTGTTTTAAGGTAATACCATAGCATATGCATGAAGAAACCAGACTAAAATAAAGTCAGGACAGCTGCCAGGAAAGAGGCGTTGAACTTACGGCCTCCAAATTGTGCCTGTTGCTTGTTCCAGTTGTGGGGAGTTACACTCTTTTTGTAAGGTTTATAGTTCAGGGTGACCAGAATTTGGGAACTGTCATCTAGGATACTTATTGGTTATACTGAGAATATAGATCATTTGGACTATTTTTAATTTCCAGAGATTCTTGAAGAGTTATATCTTCTCGGATATAATATTGTGTATCCTTTTGAAAATCATCCAATGTTTCAGAGGAATATGTCTCCCCCATCTTCATGAAGAATAACCCAAGCAAGAAAGCAGCATGAAGCAGGTTGAAAGCTCTGTTTGGCTTTGATCCTGAAGGTGGAGACAACATGTTCCACTGAAATGTTAGTTGATTTTCCACGAACTACATAACATTATATCCAAGAAGATAGAACTCTTCATAATCACCACTGTGAGAACCCCAAACCCTAAAATTTCATTGAATACGAAAGTATGTCTTGACATTGGACGCTTGAAAGACTACCTCAGAATGTAATTTGTGTAACTTTTATCGATAATTCCCAACCTCCTATACAGTGGTTACCGGGGGCTCTTTCCCGGAAGCTAAAGCAGCTGGAGACTGAAGCTGACCACTGACCTCTAACTACTGCCGAAGTCAAGAAAATGTGGATCTGTATGTCCTCCCCTCATACGCCTTCATGGCATAGAGCTTAATTAATTAAGCACAGGACAAATTTATTGTTAATTAGCTCTAGTGGCTGGTTTCATTAGAACTTCAGTTTTTTCTTAATTCATGTAGGTGATGACAGAACTTTTGGTAAAACCAGTGGACCGATGTGACTCGAAATTAAATTTTGTCAGTAAATGTAGCACTGTGATGTTAGGCAGATAGAAGTGCATACAGCTGAGCCGTTAATACCTGATCCTAGCCCATTTGAGGTTGAAAGTGCTATTGCAAAATTGAAACGGTATAAATCGCCAGGTCGTTATCAAATTCCGGAAGAACTTATTCATGCAGGAGGCGAAATATTACATTCTAAGATCCATAAGGTAATTAATTCTATTTCGCATAAGGAGAAATTGCCTGATCAGTGGAAGGAGTCTATTATTATACCAATTCGCAAGAAGGACTATGAAACTGACTGCAATAAATATCAAAGGATATCACTGCTATCAACTTTATACAAAATATTATCCAATATTCTTCTCTTAAGGTTAAGTCCATATATAGATGAAATTATTGGGTATCATCAGTGTGGGTTTTGACGTAAGAGATCAATTACAGATTAGATCTTTTGCATTCATCAGATATTGGAGAGAAAATGGGAGTATGATGAGACAGTACATCAGCTATTTGTAGACTTCAAGAAAGCCTATGATTCAGTTAGGGGGAAGTGTTGTACAATATTCTCATAGAGTTTGGAGTACCCATGAAACTAGTAAGGCTGATTAAAATGTGTTTAAATAAAACGTATCATAAAGTCCGTATAGGTAAACATTTGACTGATAATTTCTCTATCCAGAATTGTTTGATATAAGGAGATGCTTTATCGCCATTGCTTTACAACTTTGCTTTAGAATATGCAATTAGGAAGGTCCAGGAAAACCAGATGGGACTGAAATTAAATGGGACACATCATCTGTTGGTCTATGCTGATGATATGAATCTACTGGGTGATAATGTAGATACCATAAGAAACACGCAGACTTCAATTTACCTTAGTAAGGAGTTTGGCCTAGAAGTAAACACAGAGAAAACTAAGTATATGTTGCTGTCTCATCACCAAAATGCATGGCAAAATCATAACATAAAGATAGTTGACAGATGTTTTGAAAATGTGGCACAGTTCAGATATTTGGGAACGATGATAACAAATGAAAACCTAATTCAGGAGGAAATTAAGAGGGGATTGAACTTGGATAATTTCTGTCCAGAACCTTTTGTCTTCTCGTCTGCTGTCCAAAAACTATAATTTTGCCCGTGGTTCTGTATGGGTATGAAACTTGGTCTCTGTCATTAAGGAAGGAACATAGACTGAGGGTGTTTGAGAACAGGGTGTTAAGGAGAATATTTGGACTGAAGAGAGATGAAGTGACAGGAGATTGGAGAAAACTGCATAATGAAGAGCCTCATAACTTGTACTCTTCTCCAAGTATAATTAGAATGATCAAGTCAAGGAGGATGAGGTGGGCATGTAGCATAAATGGGGGGAAGAGGAACTCTTGAGTAGCTGGAAAATTGGCAGCTTATCAAGAAGGGCTCAGCTCCATGAGTGAGTGAATGTAGCTCTGTTGTGATCTCAAAATTTTCTTTAGGTAGCAGCAGAGACTGGAAGATTAGAATTAGAAGAATATAGTAATAATTCAATATTTTTATGTCATATCCACATTTTTATTGCCACAATACAGTCAGTTATTAAAAATTAAGTTATTCCTAATTACACAAGTCTATAAGGTGTAAAAGCTCCATCATTGAATATGTTAAAGAGTGTGAAACAAGGCTTTATAATGTTTTAAATCAGGTACTTGTCACTTCAGTGTAATACAAATGAAAGTACCTGCTGGCCCCACTTGAGAATCTCTACTAAACGGTATACAGTTATACATTATGATCTCTGACTGTGGTGTTTACGTTTGCAGAGTGGACTTTGTGCAGCGACAGAAATGGAATCTTCTCGTGGTGGCAGCATCCGTATTCAACACCTAACAGCCGCATCCAGTTCCCCTGCAGATGGCAGATCGCGTTTTCCAAAACTGGATGAATGTGCCCATTTTCACTACGAACAAGTTGAACTGGGGCCCTTTCAGGTACAAATACTTCTGTGTCATGGCTAGTAATATGGGAATCTGGTTAACGGATGAATGGAATAATGCATAAATAGATGGAATGATGGATAAGTGATGAATACTGGATTCTATCATAATGCAGCACTGAATAAAACAACCATCTCACATGTGATATGCTTTTACAGGTCTGTCTGTATGATGAGGAACTTAAGCCACTAGCATATGAAGACTCAGAGAACAAGTGGTGGCACGTGGCTGTCACTTCACAGGGGAAAACTTGGGTGCTGAGAAGATCATATGAGAACTTCCGTATGCTGGATAAACAACTTCATCGCTGCATCTATGACCGCAAGTTTTCTGGACTTCAGGAACTTCCACCAGAGGATAATATCCCAGGAGACAAACAAGAGGTGAGTGGGATGATGTTATGAAACATATTGTTGATTCCAAAAAATAAAACAGGATATAACACACTTGAAACATCCATTCTGTGTGAAACATTATTAGGTATTAATGGCGAGACACAGGTTTTTAAGTGATTACTGAATGTGCTGATTGCTTATGACTTGTAAGTGCTATACCACTCTTGCTAAACTACACACTCTACAAATCACAATAGCACACACGATGGTAGCTGCCTCTAATGATGGAGATCCCTCTGCACTTGTACTTAACAGATGTTCACCAACTGCAACTGCTGAATCACGCTAACTACTAACTGCTGGCTTGTGACTTGCTTGTGATTCTTATTGTATAACCTCAGCATAGACCACATAGAAAAAAAGGCACTGCACATAGTTCTTCTCTTGCTGTGTGCATTTCTATTGCCATGGGAGTATGTTTACCAGGCTGTTGCCTAGCAGTGGCTTTTTCTTCTGGCTCTGCTGGACCTCCTTTTAGGCTATAACATTCTTACTAAGCTACATACTCTACAAATCACAATAGCACACACGATGGTAGCTGCCTCTAATGATAGAGATCCCTCTGCACCTGTACTTAACAGTTGTTCACCAACTGCAACTGCTGAATCACACCTAACTACTAACTGCTGGCTTGTGACTTGCTTGTGATTCTTATTATATAACCTCAGCATAGGCCACATAGAAAAAAAGGCACTGCACATAGTTCTTCTCTTGCTGTGTGCATTTCTATTGCCATGGGAGTATGTTTACCAGGCTGTTGCCTAGCAGTGGCTTTTTCTTCTGGCTCTGCTGGACCTCCTTTTAGGCTATAACATTCTTACTAAGCTACATACTCTACAAATCACAATAGCACACACGATGGTAGCTGCCTCTAATGATAGAGATCCCTCTGCACCTGTACTTAACAGTTGTTCACCAACTGCAACTGCTGAATCACGCTAACTACTAACTGCTGGCTTGTGACTTGCTTGTGATTCTTATTGTATAACCTCAGCATAGGCCACATAGAAAAAAAAGGCACTGCACATAGTTCATATCTTGCTGTGTGCATTTCTATTGCCATGGGAGCATGTTTACCAGGCTGTTACCTAGCAGTGGCTTTTTCTTCTGGCTCTGCTGGTCCTCCTTTTAGGTGATTTGGTGAATATTTAATTGGCGAGAATGTTAGATTAGCCATATAGCAGCTATATGGCATCAGGCTTCAAGTAGATTTCATATTAATGAATGATAATTTTGCACTTGGTCCTTTCAAGAAGTAAATAAAGCTTTCGGTTTATCATCATTATTTTATTTGTTCTTTTCTGTTTCTAATCATATTTTTCATATGGAATAATAAGTAAAGAGTGTTATGATATCACGTTTCTTATAAAATTGTCATATACAGAATTACTGGGTTTTAGGACTTTTTCCGTCATCCGGAATTCTAGGTAATAGAGGACACGACGTTTCTGAAACTGTATCTCTTTCCATCTTCAGGTGAGAAGGGAAGACACCTACTCAGTTGGGCCCCTCAGAAAGAGCTAATCTCAATCACTGTACCCAGCTGAGTAGGCGTCTTCCTTTCTCACCTGAAGACCGAAACAAATCCAGTTTATGAAATGTCGTGTCCTCTAATACCTAGAATTCCGGACGATGGAGAAGGTCAAAAAACCCAGTAATTCTGCGTGTCATCCACCACCGTCAGAACCCTGTAGAATCTAAAGAAATATATGTAACATGTTGTAATTTTAGCCTGATGAAGGCAGAATGTTAAAAAATATGTAATTAACTGAGTTATACTAGTATATCTGTTTGTACAGATGGCCTATCTCATATATTACTAATAAAAAATATAATATGATGCCCTGGTACACCATTTAATTACAAGGTACTTTTTTAAGAATTTGTTCAGTATCTGATGAATGTAGAAATTGTGATCAGTAGCTGATCTGTTATGTCGAAATCCACATTGGTGAACCATGATTATTTTGTGTACATATGGAGTTAACACTGAGGGAAGAATGTTGGATTAATTTTGCATGAAGTTGATGAAGTATTATGCCTTGATAATTATTACAGCCAGTTCTGTTAGCCTTCTTGTAAACAGGTGCAGTGACAGACTTACAGCAAAGTGTCACCATTGCTTAAATGGGGAGCATTCCCTTTCTGGGCCCATTCAATTCACATTTGCCCAGTAATACCAAAGTATTGCTTTGTGGAACTAACAAATTTCTGATAACAGATGTCTTCTGGGTCAGGAACCACAGCGTGATAGTACAGTTTCATAACACAGGAAGACTGAATTTGACCACATCCTGCCGTGATGCTGTGTTTATCATTTGGTATTATAAGGTGGAGCTGTATGAGCCTACAGCATGAATAGCAGTAGGCATACACTTCTTGTGATGTGAAAATATTGAAATCGTAGCTTAGCGATTATATTGGCTTAAAGATTTTTTTTATGGAGGTCAAATGAAATGTATGAATGTATGAGGGGTAGGCCTCCTCGGCCCTTACACCGCAACCTACAGTGGTCTCTTGTGTAAATACATATTATTAAGGATGGCCCAAGATGTGAAAACCAGGTATGAGAATGTATTTTTCTTTTGATATGATGCTAATTGGGTCCGCTTTCGCCATGACATCACATGACTTGTAGTGTTAATTGAAGTGGTGGCCCCCAGATATGGGATGGTAGCTGCAAATGTATTGCATAAGCAGTAGTGGACAGCTGACAAGGAGTGATCCTCTAGAATATGGGTTGGGTGGGGGAGATTAACATCTCACCATAAGAACAGCTGCCACACTATGAAATGTTGCACAGTCTTGTACTTGATCTTTGTAATTTGTAAGCTGAACATACATCATAAGAATGATCAAAGCATGGAGAGTGAGACTGGCACGACATGTAGCATTCATTGGGAGAGCTGAGAAATGGTTACAAAATTTTGATTGGAAAACCTGAAGGGAAGACCTGTACCAGTATTTGGGAGGATGATATTGAATGAGCAGCAAAAAGAAATGGGGTGGCAGATTGTGGATTGGATGTGCTTGAGCCAGGGTGAGGACCAATGATGGCCTTCTGTAGACAAGATGAACCTTCAGGTCGCATAAAGTATGGGAACTTCTTGAATAGCTGAGCAACTTCTGGGTTTTCAAGCAAGACTCTTGTCCATAGAATTAGTTGTGTATGTAGGTAGTTAAGGTTGGCTTGAGATGTGAAAATAAGGTACTAGAATGTATTTTCCTTTTTTGGTATCATGTAGTTTTATTGTTTACAGTACTTATCAGTCCATTTCATTGGGGTTAACATTTCACTTCTCAACCATCACTACATGATTTGATTTAATATTGGTACATTTTTAAAAGTCATACATTTTGACATGAATTAATCCAAGTCAGATAAAAGACTAAAAATAGCCATGTTCCTTTCAGGAGAGCGTACGTGGCTTGTTGACAGAATATCTGAGCCGCTTCTCCCAGATAGCTGGCAATCTAATCAACTGTGGCCCAGTGTTGAACTGGCTGGAATTGGACAATCGAGGGCGCCGGATTCTGGTTCCAGACGGAGACAATTGTCCCATAAATACTCCTGCTGTTGCTGCAGCATATTCAGTCAAAAGATACACAGCTCAGGCTGGGGATGAGATTTCATTTGAGGCAAGTTCCAGGTTCTTTGTGTTTGTCGTCTGGCCTCTACAGATATTTTTTCAATTCTGTGTGTCAGGAGGGCTTAAATTGAACTCATTTCAATAATGATATTGTTATGGTTGCATATCTGCATACAGGCAATCAGTCTACCTTATTTCTAATCTCACGGTAGATTACAGCTAATACTGCTCGATATATTTTCCGTACCAGCTTCACTGTGGCCCAAAACTGAATTTGGATACATTTCAGGAAAGACTGCTAATTTTAAACTGTTTGTGAATCTGTTAGTACAGCATATATTTTTGGCATACATACAGATGGGAAGATACACGACAGATAGGCACTCTGCACCTCTCTGGATATGCCTACAAATTGCAGTGAAAGATAAAGTGTTCTTGGGGAATCGTAAGGTAAAGTTGTCCCTGTGCTTAACTAATTAAGCACTATGCCATGAAGGTGTATGGGGGAGTGGATGTATAGATCTGAATTTTCTTGACCTCGGTATTAGCTGGAGGTGAGTGGTCAGCTTCACGCCCCTGCTGCTTTACCCCTGGGAAAAGAGCCCCCTGTACCCATTGGATAGGAGGCTGGGTGGGCCTGAGCTGCTCAGGACAACTTGAAGAAGAGAGAATTCTTGACACTACCAGGGCTCAAACTTCAACCCCTCAGTCGTCCAGCCCGTAGCTAGTCGCTATACCAACTACACTATCCCAGATGGAATGTGTGAAAATGGAATTAGAATTCAGTGTTTCAGAGATGTGTTCTTCTCTTAAGTGTTGGATGCTGCAAAATCCATGGTTTCAGTCTGCAAGTAAACTATACTGACCAAGCAACTGCCGCTTGTTGGCAAAGTTAGTGCCAGATTTAGCGGATGGAGGGTGTCACGTGGTCAGTGAAATGAATCCCCATGCCATTAATTTCGGTTTTCTAGACCGGAGCCACTATTTGCTTGAAATAGCTCCTCAGTTATCCTCAGGAGGCAGAATGGATCCCATTCCAGACCCACTACTTCTCAGAAATTTTGGTAGTGCCGGGAATTGAACCCGGAACTCTGGATCTGTAGCCAGGAACTCTGACCACTAGACCTCAGAGGTGGTCATGTCCGTCCTCACATGACAGATTTCCCGTAGTCAAGTAAGGCAAGTTGTAGTTTAACCTCTTGTTATTGTAAATATTAAGCAGACTTCAACGTAGTATTTTTACTTATATTTTTCCTTGTATATGAGTTATATTATCATAATTGTATGCCACAATGGGTAGATGAAGTGAAAATGAAGCCAGACCAGTGTCTTACATAGATTTTTAGGGATAACAACTTGCACTGAACATTGCAGTCTGGTGGGTTGCACTCTTTCATAATCAGTAGGTTCCAAGTCTCGGCCCTGACTGAATTGTTGTTGTTTTCCTCAATCCCTCCATCCAGATGCCAGGATAATACCTCAAATTAGGCCATGGCCACTTCTTTCCCCAGTCATTTAACAATTTGATGCAGTCTTAACTAGTGAAAATACCATTAAATATACCATAAATGCCGTGACCCACCCCCAATTTAATATTCCTCTATTTAGTTTTCTCTCTTATAAGGTTTCAAATGTGGGGTTGTATGTGTTGATGTGTGTATCATTCATATGTAAGTTAAGTTCACCAATTCTATAAGTGTGATATCTCACTATTTGAGATCATATAGCACCACATACACCCAGTCCTCTTTATAAAAGCAGAATTAGTTACACAGAATGCTCATAATCTCTGCCTACACAAACTAAGCAACAACATAGCCAGCCCAACAGCATGGTAAAATCTGCAATTCACTGTAACATACATAATTATAAGAAGTAAGCTAACATACAAAACATTAAACATAACAGATAATATATAATAATATATTCCTTAACACATTACAGGCAAATGCATGTAATAACACTACGTCGACATCTGTAAGAGCTGCGTTAATACCACACATAAGTACAACTACAAACAACTACCCAAACTTACAAAACTAACAATAACAAAAAAATATAGAACACAACACATTATGTATACATCCAATATTGCCAGATATTCTCTCAAATAAATATTGTAACCGATTTGATCAAAGCTTTGCCAGGCAACAGCTCTGTAAACATGGTCCAACACACAACAGTAGATGAGGCTGTGTTTTCTATGTCCTTCACGCTGAGCAGTGGTGGAACATTGGGGTTATGCAACCCATTTCCAACACGTTTCCACATATTGGACCGTGATAAGAAAGCAGCAATGTCATCAACAATAGAGACGGTGTTTTCTGTGGGGTCTGTTCATAGTGCTTGTAAGAGAAGGAAGTGACAGAATTCGTTTAGGGCAGTTACAAGCCAGTTGTAAGCTGGAGGAATGAAGAGATCCAGGAGGGTTCAGCAGTTGAGAGTACATGGACAAGAATAGAGCATGTCCTTAGTGAATTGTGAAGATTTATTGAGTACAGAATAGGACAGTGGAGTACAGAATGAATGAAGATGAAATAACAGGAAAACTTCATAGTGATTTGAAGTGCTAATTTCTGTGTTGAGATCCGACTAGTGGAAACAGAGAATCCCAGTGTGTGTGCAGTGGTGGACTGGAAAGTGTGAAAATCGCCTGTAGCACTGTATTAATGGTAATTAAGAGAACTCGTAAAGGAAGTGCTAATCAATCCAATCATCAGAACTAGAACCCATTACTTTCATCACGTGTATCACCCTACATATGACAATATCTTTTATTGAATACCTGGTGACTGAAACAAAAAATAACATTAAGATGTTTTAATTTTAATTTTTAATTCCAATCTTAATTCAAACTGTATATTTTAATTAATAACATCGCATTCACACGCGATATGTAATTTTTACATACAATGGAACAATTTTTGGCAAGATAAACGGCACCTGATGATGGCTGTGTATGGCGGAAACATGTAGTGAGAGCAAAGTAGGATGACAAGTGCAATATTATGTTTCAGTTTAGTTATCATTTAGTTTGTTTGTTCCAAAATTATTCTCATAAGGATTAAAACAGTGTGTTGCTGTGAAAGTAAATGTATAATTTCTTTCTAGGTGAAGGAAATGAGTTCATGAGAGAAGTTTTGCTTGTTCTGCTGTGATTGTTTCTGCTTGATGCTTGAGGCCAGTTTACAGTTATTTTCTACCTATGTCCAGACAGCATTTTCAGAATATTTTGTTTTAAACACAGTCTACATCTTTGTGTTACTTAAGCATTATGAAGAGCCTCGTAGTCTTATGATGGACTATTAAAATTTGCTTAGTGGGGGGTGGAGTCCAACTGGGTCCACTCGGCATGGCGGCCACTGATTGACCTATTGTAGCCTGCCCCGGGTGATTATGATGATGGAGAATTTGGTGGAATGAAGATTAGCAGGGAAAACCGAAGTACTTGGAGAAAACCCGCCCCAGCGCCACTTTATTCACCACAGATCCCACTTGACCAGATCCGGGATCAAACCCGGGCTGCTGCAGTGGGAAGCCAGCGACTAACCGCTTGAGCTATGGCGCGGCCACTATGATGGACTATGGCTACAGACATGTCAGTTGGAGCATCAGTGGATATGTCTTGAAACAGAATGCATTGTGTCACCTACAATAAATGGAGTTTGATGTAACAATTTTATAAATGTACGGTTTTGATTTCCGAGTTTTAGTTCAGTTTTATTTGTTTGCAGGTGGGAGACATGATTTCTGTTATTGACATGCCGCCTCCTGAAGAATCTGTATGGTGGCGGGGTAAGCGAGGCTTCCAGGTCGGTTTCTTCCCATGCGAGTGTGTGGCAATTATAGGAGACAAGGTGCCCCATAACTTACAACTTCCAGCGCAACTTGTCCAGCGGCCCACACCTGATCAACCTAGCAAACCTGTCTTGAGGAAGCATGGCAAGCTGATTGCTTTCTTCCGTTCATTCATTCTATCTCGCCCGTCAAGACGACGGCTCAAGCAATCAGGGATATTAAAGGAGAGGGTTTTTGGCTGTGACCTTGGAGAACATTTGCTCAATTCTGGCCATGAAAGTAAGTTCACACTGCTGTACTCTACTTCTCATATGTAGGCAGTCAGCCCTGTTCTGACTTCATATCCTCAACCCATCTGTGGAGTATAAGTATTCAAAATTTGTAAGTGGAAACCTTACCAGCACACCCAAACAACCCCCAACCTGGAAAATTATGTCATTTCTCTGTTTCTGGTACCTATCTTCCTACCTGTCTTTTGAGGGTGAACTTCTGAATAGCTTTGCTGCCAAGAGAATTGTGTTTGAGGTTTTCAGTACTCATGAACCCCCACATTGTACTAAGGTGGAAATATGGCCGTGCCATAGCTGAAGCGGTTAGTCACTGGCTTCCCACCGTGGCGGCCTGGGTTCGATCCCGGGTCTGGTCAAGTGTGATTTGTGGTGGACAAAGTGGTGCTGGGGCAGGTTTTCTCCAAGTACTTCGGTTTCCCCTGCCAATCTTCATTCCACCAGTTGCTTCACGATCACCCTCACCTATCATCTGGGGCTGGTACAATAGGCCAGAAGTGGCTGCAGTGCAAGGGACTTAGTCCCACCCCAGTAGCAATAAAAAAAGTTGGAAATAGTATCAGGACGGTTTTCATTACTTTGGATGCTAAAACAAGGATGTAGGGAGGTAACTAGGCGTATCTCTTTATACTTTCCATACGGCTAGTGTAACCGTGTGATCGATACTTGCTTGTGTGGTAGATGGGAAATTTATAGGCAAGCAGCATAAGTGAATGCACGGAAATGCAATTTTCTGCATTCTGAGCACAGTAGCAGAGAGGGTTGTTGGCATGTTGCCCTTGCTTTGTTAGGCTGAGAATGGAAATGCAGTTTTCGGCATTCTGAGCGCAGTAGCAGAGAGGGTTGTTGACATGTTGCTCTTGCATTGTTAGGCTGAGAATGGAAATGGGGGTGGCGTTCTTTGAGGTCCTGAGAGAACCTGTGTAGTCTGAAATATTGCTGCCAGTATTGCATTGTGACATGGAGCCAAGAGGAATGTTCACAGTTTTATCACACTGAGAATTTTGGGGGAATGTAAATATACATGTATGAATGGAAGTGAGAAGGATAATTTTTTTCAGCATATTTGAAATTCCCTCAGCATTTTGACAGAGTGAAATTTAAATATTTTTCATCACCAGATGGTTAGGTTTGGTGTGTTAGGATTGGATGGGCATGTAGCAAATGCAGTTCAAATTTTTTATTTGGAAAGCTTTTGGCAAGTGGCAGCTTGAAATACCAAGATGAATTTGGAATTGTAATGTGTCTTGTAAAATAGGTTGTGGTGTATTAGAATGGATTCTTGCACATGAGTAACTGTTAATTTCAGATTAATTAATTTTATGTGGACTGAAAGTTCTTTTGTTTCAGGAGACTTAATATATGGAAATCTTCTGTTTCTAGTTCCAATGGTTCTGAAGTGTTGTGCAGAGTTCATTGAAAGCCGTGGTATAGTGGACGGTATCTACCGACTCTCTGGCGTTACTTCAAATATCCAAAAGCTCAGGTAAGATTTGGTGCTGCTGTGTTATATAGAAGGCTATATTCCAATTCTTGTAATGTACACACTTTGTTGGAATCATAATTAAGTGCTTTTTGTATGATTAACAGAGTGATATACAGAGTCTGGCAGATACTTGTAACTTATGTTTGATTCTTCAAAGGCCTTTGGTAGTTGTTAATTTTGTCATTTTCAACTGCCTGAGCTGTATTTGCTATTCATAGCATTAAGAAGTTTGCTGTTCTACCATTTTCAGATGATTGGTTGAAATACTGATAGATTTTTATTATTTTTTTATTATTAGTGGGAGTTGGAATCAAATCCAGAGCCTTTTGAATTCTAGGCTGGTATGCTGACTACTAGAAATTAATAATAAAATGTCATAGTGGTAGCCATTCAGTCCCATCATTTGTACTCTTTGTGGTAAAGAGATAAGCAGCTCAAAGGCAGGGGTGCTGGATAATGTTCATCCAAATTTCGCAGAAATCTGTTAGTTGACTTGTAAATTATTAGGGACAGATGCAGAGGCAGATGAACATATGGACCTGATGTTACTGCAGTCCTCTTTTTTGCTTTAAAATAAGTAAATAATAAAAAAGGGCCAAGAATATTGGTCCCAGTGGGATAGTTTTAAAATTTAAGGTGACCATATTTTGAATAGTTAACTAGAAGGAGATGAGGTTAAATTTGATTTGGTTAATCCTGGTCCGTCACACTAGCAGTATTATAAAAAGTATCAACTCCGTCCAGTGTGATTGAAAAATGTTTTTCTTTTATATTTCATCCTTTATATTCATGACATTGTAATTATATTGTATGTATTTGACCAATCACATTGTAATAGTAGTTTCTGCTTGTATTGATATATACTTCTGAAGATGGTCTCTCTAACCAAGACACGCCAAGGATGGAAGATTAAAAATAAAAACATTTATCAGTCACACTGGATGGAGTTGATAACCTTTTATAAAAGAGATGTGGTTATTTATTTATGTATTTCGCAGTACAGATTCTTTCCAGGTTAGACAGGGCTTGACTTACACAAATCAAACTTCATGTAACAACGAAAAAAAAAAATAAGTTGCATGTGGAAATTTTACATCATTGAGCTAGCAGAACACTAGCATAACAGATTACGACAAAGTACCTGGTTATGTTACCTTATGTGCACGGTGTCAGTTGCATATCATTTTCATCACTTTCTATGTTGATTGTATGTACCTCATGTTCTTTTGCAGAATACAGAACTTTCACCTTCACAATCAAGGCTGATAAGCACAAGAGTGATTCTGAAGGCCATATTTTTATTACCTGTGTTGTACTATGAAACTATATAATATGAGACATATATATACAGTTTCCGACTTAGTAAATTTTGACTTCTGTAACATTTGTCAGAGCTGAAGCCTTACGTAAGTTGTTTACTGTATGTGCTATTGATTTTTCTATTTTCTATTCTGCCCCCCCATAATGATAGATTACTTATATTTGTGTTAAAAGCAGTTTTTAAGTACTTGGGTCAGACTTGAGGGATGCAGAGACATGAATATTGTGTGTATCAGATCATAACATCCCCACTGAAAGCCGCAGTTGATGTGTAGCACTTTTGCTTCATGTTCAGAGTCCAGATCTTGGCTTAAAGACCAGTTGTCCTGCTAAAGGTTTTTGTTCTCGTTAGTCCCTTGAAGCATATTCTGGAATAGTACCTTAAATTAGACCGTGACTATTTCTTTCTACTTCCTTTTCAATTTATTGTTTACTAATTTGCCCTGTCATTTGATACTATATAATCTTAACAGCTGAAGTACTGTAATGACCACAGAACACATCCTTTGACACCTTTGCTGCCATAAATAAGTTTGGCTATATACAGGTGCCATTTCCAACCACCATAAAGAATTTTGGTCATTTAAGACTACACTTTAAAAAGGGCAACAATTTTTCTTTCTCAAATCATTTTGTGTAAATAGTTTCTTCTTGTTTTACTACATGGTACATATGGCTACATTGTGTGATTTCGTGGACATACGTAGATCATTTTCAGTTCATTTCTTAACCGTGAAATACTGCTCTATACTAGTGCACTGCTAAGAGTGGCAGGCTATGAAGTAAGCCAGCTGTAAAGGATGATAATTTAAATATTTACAGAAATGCGTTTGATGAAGATCGGGTTCCAGCTCTCTACGAGGATGAAGCAATTCTCCAAGACATACATTCAGTTGCGTCTCTGCTCAAGATGTATTTTCGTGAGCTTCCAAACCCTCTGTGTACATACCAGCTGTACCACACTTTTGTAAATGCTGTTCAGTCAAGCCAGGAAGAGGGCTACAGACTCCTTCGTATGAGGGACGCTGTGCAGAAACTACCACCTCCCCACTACAGGTATTTTAGAAGGGGGAATTATGATATATTTACTCATATGTCAGGTAATAAACCAAAAAATCTGTGTCAGTATAAGTAAGTAGCTTTCATAGTTTGACTCTATTTATACTTACAGCATTGCAGCTGTTTTATTTCTTAAACTATATATATATATATTTTATTAATATTGGAAGAAACCAGTAGTCAACAGATCAGTGTCAGCGTCAGCGTCAGCGTCAGTTCAGTATTCTCACTTCAGTTTAACAGTCTGGCAAACCATAATATCACGTCATGTCACAGTTCTTTATTTGCTCGTCAAGAAGAGGCCTTGTCTGGGGAAACTGAGGGTTCAACTGGGATCAGTGTTGGTGGCTCTGATGTCCCTGTCTGCAAATGACGAGAGGACTTTCAGGATTTCGCACTGCCAGTAGCCCTGCTTGGTTCAGCATACATTTATAACCTTTGGCTCTGCATGGGCACAGTCAGTGAATATTAAATGGGCATCAGACTGGAGTATTTTGGTTTTAGATAAAGTGAAAGCAATGTTTGGGGCCCATAGTGGACCCAGTAGATGTCTGAGTGCTTAAGGGGTGTCTGGAGGTTGTCCCCTCCCCATATCAGTACTCAGTAGTCAATGCATCGCTTTGAATTCTTCTTGTGGAACTTTCTAATTTGACTAACCAGTACTTTTCACTTTGTACTTCAGCAACAGTTAGGTGATTTTATGAGAAACTGATATCCAAAGCAGAGGACATGTTTATTATATTTGTTAAAATTGTATAGTTTAGTGATAAACTTAAGCATTCATCTGGGATATTTATGAAGATTGATAGAATATGTCATGCCTTTGAAAGTGCGTGCTGTAAAATAGTTTGTGCGGGGATTGTGTTTACAGAACTCTGGAATACTTGATGCAGCATTTAGCTCGTGTAGCAAAACATGGGCACATGACAGGCATGACCCCTCGCAATGTGGCCATTGTATGGGCTCCAAATCTTTTGCGCTGCAAGGAACTTGAAGTGGGTGGAGTGGCAGCACTGCAAGGTGTTGGGGTTCAAGCTGTTGTTACAGAGTTCCTTGTCTGCTACACCGACCTCATTTTTTGTGATGGTCTTCCATCAATAGGCAACTTGCCTCATCCTCAAGGTAATGCAGTTTGCGGAAAGTCTTCAAGTTTATACCTTAACTTTTGTTAATGGGCTTTATTAACCCATGCGTAAGAAATGATTTGAGAATTATTGGCAGGTGTGATGATACTGTTTCAAGTATAGGCATTGTTTATAAAGTTACCTTACCATTTAGAATTATTGATTGTAAGCACATGTAATGAGAAGGAGGTTGAAGAACTCTGCTTGTTGCCTGCTTCATGCCATTTTCTTACCTGGCTTACTTTTTTTACCTTGAAGGTGGAGGCGATATGTTTCTTTGAAATATCAGTTGACTTTCACCGGACTTTGCATAATTGTATCCCAGAAGATACAGTTCTTCATAGTCACAACTTAAAATCCAACAAAGAATTGGTTAATTTAAAAAATATACCTGCAGTTTATTTTATTGAAAGATGCGTTTTAGTAATTTCAGACTACATGCTATACAAAAGATGAACAGCATAATTGACATGCACAATTACTTTATTTTTAGTAATTGTCTTATATGGCCGTGCCATAGCTCAAGCAGTTAGTCGCTGGCTTTCCACCGCGGCAGCCCGGGTTCGATTCTGGGTCTGGTCAAGTGGGATTTGTGGTGGACAAAGTGGCGCTGGGGCAGGTTTTCTCTGAGTACTTCGGTTTCCCCTGCCAATCTTCATTCCACCAATTGCTCCACAATCACCCTCACCTATCATCTGGGGCTAGTACAACAGGCCAGAAGTGAGCACAGTGCCCCACTAGCAATAAAAAAAAATTGTGTTATATCTAACAGATCCTTCAACCTTTGCTATCCTGCTAAGTCACAGGACCAAGAGTATTTTCTCATAGCAAGTGTACTGAGTATTATTTGGCTTCAGTTTTTTTAAGTATCTGCTTTGAGTCATTATCAGGCCACCAGCTTGTCTTCTGTATTGATGCCCCTCCACCCTGAACTCTCTCCATGCAAATATTAGGATGCTCTTTAACATGGGCATTGCCTGCTTCTTGTCTGCTCCTTTTCAGTTGTCTGTATAATATAATCTTCTAATATGACAGAGTTGCTGTGTAGAGAACTTAGTGTAGTGTAAACTGTAGTACACTGTCTACATTTGTTTGCCTTTATTCATTGTTTCCAGTAACTCCAAAACGCAGTCGGCCTAAATCTCTTGCCATTTCCACACCAACCAAATTGCTGTCTCTTGAAGAAGCCCGCACACGAGCATTATTGTCTTCAAGCAAGGCAGAGCAAGAGTACATTGAAGTTGGTGAGTTGTATGTTTTATTGTACAGAGAATCTGTATATAAATAGATGCTTTTCCATCTAGGTTTTGCCATGTTTCTTTTCTTTTAGGTTTTATTAATAATTCTTGCTTTCATTATTTGACCCTGTTTTTTGTAATTTCACTTGTTACTGTGCATGCACTGTGTATGTGTGGAGGTGGGGGGGGGTGTACACACACCCACATTGGGCCATATCCTTTACCAGCTGATCCCAGTCCACACCTTCATACTCTCTCTGTCAAAAATCGGTTTATGTATCATCTGGAATCCATGTTTATTTCTTCTTCACTTGGGTGTATCCACTAAAATATACATTTGTCTTGATGCATTGTCTTCAGATACCTTCAAGGTATGCTTTTCACTCAGGGTGGCAAAACAACAGGTGGAGTTACATATTTTAATCATGAGGTATTTTGAGAGGAGCAGTAGACAGAGGGGTTCTGAACTGAAAGGTTTAAAAGATTTATAGGTAGTACAAATATTATGTTTCTGGACATTATCCATCAACCTGTTTTTATCTAAAACGCTGTTCTGTTTATATTTCAAAATACAACTTTTCAAAAACTGGATGCCGTCTGTGTCTTCAGGTAAAACTTACTCAGTTGGGCCCAATTGATAGAGCTAGTCCCTAGTAAAAAAACAGTAATTCTGAGGTTTTGCTGGTGTATAAGATGCAGTTTTTTACCCCCTCAAAAATTACCTTAAATTCTCTGTGCATTGTATACACTGGTGCAGATTAAAAGAAAAATTCTTAGTTTTCCCTTTCTAAACTATTATGCTTTTGTCAAAAAACTCAGTAATTCTGAATGTTTGCCAGAGTATAAGGTGCAGTTTTTTCTCCTAAAATTACCTACAATATCTCACAACATTTTTATACTGGTGCAGATTAAAAGAATTTTTAATTTTCCCTCTTTAAACCATTATGCTGCATATGCACTGGGAAATATATGTCATTTGTACAGGCAGTGCTATTGAGACAATAATAGAACATCTATTGTTTTCCTTCCACCATTGTCTTTTTCAGCTTTTGCCCAGGTGGTCTGGCCTTTCTCACTTAATGTAATTTTTGCAATATGAATACTGTGCAGGTGGTGGACCAGCAAACCTTCCAGCCAAGTACCATACAGTCATTGAACTTCCAGGGTCCAGCAGGAAACGCAGTGGATCCTCCAGTAAAAGATCTCCACTAGGCTGGAAGTCATTTTTCAGCAAATCTGGACGTAAAACCTCAGGACCCCAGCAACATAAAGCTTCCATTCCGTCAGACTTGGGACTCAATCGGGTCAGTGTTAAGTTTAACCCACTGAAACAATACATATTAGAACAGAGTAAGAACAGTAGTCTTACGACCAAAGCAGACGTGACAAGACAGCTGTTTTCCTTGCTCTTGTTGACTTGGTGAATTCACATTTTATACATTTGCACCCAAAATTGGATTCTCCTAATCCCATTGATGGAATGGTGGAAAAAATAGTAGATGACAGTGGAAATGTGAATGTCTTCTGCCCCTGGTAACTTAACAAGTGCACAAGAGAGTACCTGTAACTGTATGAATTAGTTTCTGGCTGCAAAATGCATGCACTTTGCCTCACTAACCACGTGGAACCTACTGTCATGTGTCAGAGTGCCATGGTACACACCATCGAGGCAGACTTGTTTTTGATTTTGAATCAGAATTGGTGAAGCAGTTAGGATTGAAGTCTAAGTGGTTTTTATGGTAGCATACGAAGGGGGACCCAAAAATAACCGGAAACGACCTGTTGCACGCGCATGCTTTGTAGTTACGAGTTGTGCTGCTAGGTGGTGTTAGCTGGGGGTCCCCCGCGACTTAGTGAGCTGGCGTCAGTCTGAGTTAAGTGGTTTGTCTGTGGTGCTCTGTTGTGTGCGTTCCTGTTTCAACCCTTTGGCGATTAGTGAGATGGCCGACCAGAAGGAACAAAGAGTGTGCGTGAAATTTTGCTTTCTGTTAGGGAAAACTGCACTTCACTCTTCAAGTCGTGGCAAACATTCATGCGGTTTTCTCTTTGGTCATCTCCGAGCAAGCGAGGAACAAATTTTGCAGACACCCGTCTCATGTGCAAACCTTCGGTTAAAATTCGCTGGACTGTGCTCCATGAGATGTTCGTTTCCTCAGAAAGTTGGTCAATGGTCTTTCAACGATCTTCATCAATTTCACGCACACTCTTTGTTCCTTCTGGTCGGCCATCTCACTAATCGCCAAAGGTTTGAAACAGGAACGCACACAACAGAGCACCACAGACAAACCACTCAACTCAGACTGACGCCAGCTCACTAACAGTTGCGGGAGACCCCCAGCTAACACCACCTAGCAGCACAACTCGTAACTACAAAGCATGTGCGCGCAACAGGTCGTTTCCGGTTATTTTTGGGTCCCCCCTCGTATAACACTCAGGATTAATTCCTGTTAGCTAGTCCATCTCACATGCAACTTGCTTTTTGAAACCTTAAAAAATTTTAAACATTAAAATTGCTTCTATATCACTGGGTATATCCCAAAAGTAAACTTACAGATGGAAACACAGCAGTTTCATCAACAATTTTAGACACACATGAAGATGACCATTGTTGGTTGAACCATGTATATGTATACAGGGTGTCCCAGGAGGAATGTGCCAAACTTCGGGAGGGTGTTCCTTATGTTAAAGTATGCCGATATAACCCAAAACACCTATGTCCAAAGTTGAACGGTTACGGAGATAATGGCCAGAGAAGTGTCAAACTTTGACCGGGGTTACACACTTGTTGATTACAAAATAGATATTAAAACTGGCAGGAATATGTGGATTCTGTAATGTTAATAATGTACGTAACATCAAACCAACTTGTGAGTGACGGAAAGCCATAAAATTGAAGTACAAAATACTCGCTCGCCATGTCATAATTGTCCTTAGGTTTCCAAGCAGTATACATAACACATGACTGGCGTGCGATGACGTAATATGGCTGCGCTATGAGCCGACCACATAACTCTTATTATACCTACATTCACGGATAATCTCTTTTGGAATTTCGTTTCCATTATCTCATGTGGATTATTATGGGACCACGTATGCACATTTCGTAAATTATTTACACCGTCCAGGGTAAAAGACGCCTCATCACTACACATGACACATGAATGGCAAGCGCTGGTGTAACATGACTGACTGCATATTCTGCTATAAGCCAACTACATAAGTATTAAAATACAGTACCTGCTTTATAGTAATTGTTCAAAGTGTCCTCCGCCAGCTGCAATGCAGTTTTCGGCACGCATCATGAGGGATTGGGTAGCAGAAGCAATGTTGCCTGAATGGTGACGTATGTGCTCTGCCGCTGCAAAAATACGATTCCGCAGTGCTTCTCGGGAATCGACCTTAGTTTCGTAGACTAAGGTCTTCATGTGGCCCCAGAGGTAATAATCTAGAGGCGTAAGATCTGGCGACCTCGGTGGCCATGCAATGGGACCACCACGACCTATCCAGCGGTTAGGGAAGGATTCATCTAAGTAGTGTCTCACGTGCTGAGTATAATGTGGAGGAGCCCCATCATGTTGGAAGTACATTTTCCTCCTTATCGTTAACGGGATGTCTTCCAACAAACATGGTAACTCATTCCTTAGGAAGGCTCCATACGTGTTTCCAGTTAAATTGTTGTGAAACACAAAAGGTCCGATCAACCTGTTCCCAAGCACACCACACCATACATTCACAGAAAATCTCTTTTGGAATTTCGTTTCCATTATCTCATGTGGATTATTATGGGACCACGTATGAATATTTCGTAAATTATTTACACCGTCCCGGGTAAACGACGCCTCATCACTGAATAAAATGACGCTTAACAGTTCGGGATGAGCTTTTATCCAGTGGCAGAAATCCATACGCTGAGCATGGTCGCCTGGTTCCAGATGTTGTACCCTTTGATCATGGTAAGGATACAGGTCTTCGTCATGTAAAGTTCGCCACACCTGCATACGTGATACGCCGATGCGAGAGGCCATTCTACGAGTGGAGAGACGCGGACTTCTATCAATCATGCGAAGAATGTTCTCTCGTGTGTTTCTCATTTGTACATCCTCCCTTTCCGACTGCACAGAAACACTCGGAAGAGAACCAGTCTCACGCAATGTCTGGTGAATTCGCGTAAATACACTTCGAGATGGAATCCTTCGATCGGGAAAACGCCTTTGGTACTCTTCAACAGCAGCACGTGCATTGCCACCGCAAAATCCATACACAAAATGCATATCACAATACTCGACGTGTGAAAACACAAAAGGCATTTCAGCAACTCATCACACAACTAATTTACCACCCATTCACGACCCCACAGCAAACTAATCTGTAGGCAGCGCATGAGCTTACGCTAGTGTGACTCGCGGCACTCAAGGACAAACAGATAAGGGTCTCAGCTGACAGGTATGTATAGTGCGTGGACCTGCAAGAAGACCACACTTTTCTCGGGCCATTATCTCCATAACCGTTCAACTTTGGACATAGGTGTTTTGGGTTATATCGGCATACTTTAACATAAGGAACACCCTCCCGAAGTTTGGCACATTCCTCCTGGGACACCCTGTATATGCATATACCAGGGATGTAGAAGAGATTTTAACATTTTAAACTTTTTTAAGGTTTTAAAAAAAAAGTTGCATGTGAGACAGCTAAATAACAATAATAAATATGTGATGTGCAATAGGATGCTACGATATAGTGTCAGGATTAGGAAATTTTTGGATTTTGGCCATCATTTTGTATTGTAAAGGATACTGTGTTTCAGATGATGGATCTCTTTCTGTCTGCAGATGAAAGGGTGGGAGGCATCTGCTCTGTTGGGTCTGTTAGAAAAAGCTAACCTCAATCACTGGACCAGTGACTGAGGTTAATTCTCTCTAATTGTATTCTAATGAACTAACATTTTAGAAACTGGATCTGTTTCTGAAATTTTATATTTTTTAAAATACCAGATGATGAGCAGAGTCCAAAAACTCAGTAATTGTAACTTGTTAAAGAATATTTTGCACACATGGCACCGGCAATCAAACCCTGGGTGATAGAAGCTGTGAACAAAATACATGTTTGCTGTAAAATAATGAGAATTCTAATACCCCAGCACAAACCTTGAAAGTCATGGTGTCTGCATTAAGTATCAGTTTTTGATTCTAAATTGTACTCTCAAAAGAAGCCTTCAAGGGTTAAGGAAGGCTGTTCTATTTCAGAACTAATTAAATATGGAATCTGTTTTGATTGCTGTGATCACCTGACGTGACTTATATGAAACTTGAATTAAGCAGGAGAAAGCTGTGACGGAAAATGAACTGGCTCAGGGGCGGCGGAGACTGCGGCCTGTGAAAAGTGCTGAATCTCTTACTTCTGTAGCAGACTCATGTCGAAACTCTGCAGCTTTGGACCTAGAATCGAAGCCCACCATTGAGCACTCCGATGCTGACACCTTGTCACCAGGCCCTGTCAGCAATAAATCAAGTGGACACAGCCGCTCTGTGTCACATGACTCATACTTTGATCTGCTGGCAGAGACTCCAGTTCACTCCCATCCTGTAGTCAGGTAAGATTTTTTTCTGCCTTTGGTACCTGTCGTGTTTCTGAAGTAGCCACTTGGTAAAACATTTATTCCTACCTCCACACATTAAGCTTCTTAGTATCTGTACTCCTCCCAAAATCCTCATTCTAATATATCCTTTCTTCTAGCTCTGCCCTGTACATGTATAACTCCATTATGCCCTTGGGTACCTGTCTTCACTTACCTTTCTACATTTCTGAGTTGTTTGGTTGATAGGCATGTCAGCAGCTATGGCTGCTTAAATAAATTCAAACAGTTGTCACACTGTGGAGTGGTCTGACTAACAGTTGGTAAAATAATAACAGGACAAACAAACAAACAGACTCCATGGTTTTAGTCCACAAGTGAACTGTACCGACCAAGCGACCACCGCTTGTCTGTGAGGTTAGTGTCAACTTTAGCAGATAAAGGGTGTTGTGTGGTCAGCGCAACAAATTAGACTGTCTCTTGTGGTCTCGTGGTCAGAGTTCCTGGCTACAGAGCCAAAGGTCTGGGTTCGATTCCCAGCGCTACCAGATTTTCTGAGAATTAGTGGGTCTGGAACAGGGTCCACTCAGCCTCATGAGGATAACTGAGGAGCTATTTCAAGGAAATAGCAGCTCCGGTCTAGAAATTATAACAGGAAGCAGCCATAAATATTATTGTTTTAATTAGTTATAATAAAACAGACTGTGTGTGGGCCACTGAGATTTTAAAAAAATAGTGGAAATGACTCAAACAGGAGAATAAAATAGAGTGAATTAAATGAGCGTATATTTGTCAGTACCCTGAAGGAGTGTCACAACTTTTGATATTGCACATACAGGAGTTGTGTGACAAATAACTGTGGGTTCTAGATTTTATTATTGGATTTATTGGACTTCCCTATTACAGTTACACTTGATTATAACAGTTTACACATTGAACTCCTTCTTGATAACGAATCTTACACTGTTGTCTGGATCTTGCACTGGTGTCTATTTTTCTACTACACTGTACATCTCTCCAGTATGACTCCTTGCTCTGCCTGGCAAATTCCTCTCATTTCATGACTTCACGAGAGCCGTATAGAAAATAGCCACTACAGCAGTTCATCTGTTGTAATCAGCATATCCGTTGCCATGGTAATCTATGTATTCATTCATTGCTGCAGGAACAATGTTTACCTAGGCATTGTCTAACAACAGATGTCTCTGTTGTGCTTCTCTGATTGCGCACTTTCAGGCATCATGTCACAATATATTACAGGAATCATCACATAAGATGTTGCATAACACTCCTCGATAATGTGAGGTTAGATGTTGTTCCTCACAACGTGGTTATTCCAGCAAAATATGTGAAACAATAAAAGCAACAGTTGCCAGTCACTTGCAACAAATGCCTGTGTATCAGGCAAACGTGCCTGATATTTTTCAATATAACGAATATAATTTGTCACCTGCATGATTTTGTTATGCTGACATTTTACTGTGTAGTGTAATTGTAGATGACAGGTGAATTGAATTGGAAGGATTTGGGTGGAACTGATCACAGCCTGATGGAAGTAATGTATTGGCTATTCTTTATTAAAATTGTGTTTTTCATATCATAGAAACGCAGTTGCGGAAGAAAAATTTCTTCTTGCATAGCTGGAAAATAAGTTATTGCATATTATTTTTAATGCACCAGATTTGGAATCCCATTTTTTGTTATATCATTTGCAGTGTCATGTTTTTTTGTATAATGCAGACCGTCCAGACTACCGGAGGAGGAAGCTGAGGATCACTTCTCCTCCTCTCTTGATCTCAGTGAGATTCGGCTGAACTTTGACTTGGAAGAGTCAGAGATGCAGATATTTTCAGAGGATGAAACATTGACAGCTATGTCAGTGGGTAGCGGCAGTATCGTATCACATCCATTTCCTCGTATGGGAACTGCAGTCAAGGTCCGACAGCAGATGGTGAGTGCGACTGTAACCGGTGGCTCCTTTGGCATAACATGTGAGATACAAGCGCTGTTTGAAGTTGCACATAAGAAATTAATACTGGATATTGCAGGTAGCTATTGTTTCTGTTGATGCAATATAATGCAATTTCTGTGCGATTAAAATATATTCTGATTAAAACTTTCTTACACTTACATAATAAATAATTAAGATTGAGTCTGTATGAGATTTGGGGTTTTCACAGTGGTAAAAATGTAGATTCTTGGCTTCTGGTGAATGTGGAGTTCTTTAGGTGGGCAATGTTTCGGGGAGATCTGCTGCCTCCATCTTCAGGATAAGACATGAAGGGAACTGAGTAATGAGTGAGAGCTTGATATTTTCCAGTGAGTTTTATTCAGGTAATGAAATCGAGAAGGAAGGGGGGAGTGGGGCTTGCAGCGCACATGGGGGAGCTGAGAAATGCGTAACAGACTACAGTCAGAAAACCTGAAGGGGGGAGAGAGTTTGGGAGTCATGGCTATAAATGGAAGTATACTATTAAAATATGTCTTAAGTGTGCTGTAAGGATTTTGACTGGATTAAACTGGCTTAGGGTAGGATCCAGTGGCTGGTTCTTGTGAACACAGCAGTGAGCCTTTGGGTTTCATGAAAGGTGCCGATTTTCCTGAACACCTGAATGACTCATCTTCTTAGGGAGGACTCTGCTTCATGGGATTGATTGACACCAGAAATGTAAAAACCAGGGCTATTTTTATATAGTATTCAGAAAAATATTTTAAAATGAATGATAATTTGCATTTGCTATATTTAAAATCTGTTGCTAATTTCATAAAGAATATTGATTTATTATCATTCCCAAGTCAGGATAGTGGAGTCAGTATAGTGACTGGCTATGGGCTGGACAGCCGAGGTGTGAGAATTTTTGAGTCCTAATAAGGACAAGATTTTTCTCCTCTGTATGCTATTCAGACTGGCGCTGGGGACTCTTTCCCCAGGATTAAAGTGGCTGGGCTATGAAGCTGACCACTCACCTCCATCTAGTGCTGAGGTCAAAAATATGTGGATCTATACATCCATCCTCCATATGTCTTCATGGCATAGTGCTTAATTATTCAAGCACAAGGAAACTTTACCTTTACCTTTACTGTCATTCGCAAGTATTTGAACATTGTTAGAGTTTATAAGGATTTATTTCAAATAGCTGCTCTGAAATTAACAGAAAAGTTGTGCAGAACCAAAAGAGTCTGTCCGTGACTAATTATGAAACTGTGATGATGAATTACAGATGAGCAGTAAGCGGATGCCAGTGCCTCGTGCGCGGCCTGAGGACCCACTCAGTGGCTGCCCCAGTGCTGATCCCTCACCAAAGAAACAAAAAACATGTGCAGCCCCCATTTCTCCTCAGGGCTCAAGTCGCTCAAAGCGGTCTAGGCTAGAAGAACAGCTGGCATGTTCAGCAGCAGAACTGCGCTACATTGACAGTCAGAGTCCTGAGAACCAGCAGGTAGCATTCACGCACTCTTTCGGTTGTGTTTGTTTGCTTAATTTATGGTTATTAATGATGGGCTTCCAGAGAAGTTCATGGAGGTAGGCCTAGGTCCACTGAGGCTGTAGTGCCAAGAAAAAAAATGATGAGCATAATTTGCACTCTTGGCCAGTCATCATTAGAGTACCGAGGCTAATGGCCGAAGGATACTAAAATACAAGGCTGAAAGATAATTTCCTCTGAGCATATTGGCTGAAATATTTTGCTAGTATACACAGATAGGAGAAGCAGAAATGGTCACTATAAGAGCTGGAAGAACTAATTCTGAGTTGTAACAGCCTAATGCGACTAACCCCTGCTGCTGCTGCTGCTGATGCTGATGAAGTCAGGATTTATGAGATGGGTGGGGACCTGTAACATGCATGGGAGTTGTGAGAAATGTATACAAAATTTTGATCAGAAAATCTGAAACAAAGAGCCCTCTTGTAAGACGTAAGCATAAATGTGAGGATAACGTTAAAGCATCTCTGTACTCTCTCCTTGTCCTCGCGCCCCATTTGGAGTATAGGGCATCTGTGAAACTCTTGTTTTACTTCAGTTTCTTTATCTTAGACAGTCAATAGGGCTCCTCTGATGGGGGATAAGCCCGTCACAAGGCCACTACCCAGCACAAACACAGATTAAACACAGACATCCATGCCTTGAGTGGGATTGAAACCCATAGTCCCAATGTTCGAGTGAGTGAAGAAGACATTTCATGACTTAGATTGCTCAGCCACTGTGATCAGCTACCTGTACTATAATTTAAACACATTTTAATCGGCCTTAACTAGTTTTATGGGTACCCCAAACTCTATGAGAATATTGTACAACTTCCCTCATAACTGAATTAGAATAGCTGCTGTGTATCTCATTGTACTCTATTTTTTTCTCCAGTGTCTGATGAATGCATAAAATCTGATTGGTAGTTGATCTATTATGTTGAAACCCACACTGATGATCTCCAATAATTTCATCTGTGCATGGACTTAACCCTGAGAGAGGAATATTGGATAAAGTTCTGTATGAAGTTGATAGCAGTGGTATCCCATGATAATTAATACAGTCAGTTTTATCACTCTTCTTGTGAATTGGTACAATAATGGACTCCTTCCACTGATAAGGCAATTCTTCCATATTCCAAATAGAATTAATTAGCTTATCGATCGTAGAACGTAATATTTCGCCTTCTGCTTGAGTAAATTCTGCCAGAATTTGATCACTAACTGTCGAGTTATACCTTTTCAACTTTGCAATAGCAATTTCAACCTCAAAACGACTAGGAGCAGGCACTAATGGCTCAGCTGTATGGATTTCTGTCTGCCTAACGTCACTGACCCTATGAACATTCAATAAATGAGTGAAGTAGTTCTTCCACCTATGCAAAATATTGTGGAAATCTGCAAGCAGATCACCATTTTCATCCTTAAAAAATGTTTGACATCTCTAATCAAAATTGTATAAGCAAAGATTTTTTATCAAGGCTCAGAGCTTCAGCCAAAAGAGCATGGCATTTTTATCATGTACTACTCATAGAGCCTGGCACTAAACAGTTAAGGAATTGGAGTCTTGAAATATGGATTGGAATCATAATTCACAATATAATTGCAAGCTGTTGTGAACATTGCAGTTAATATTTTTGTTACATAAATGGTGGATACTTGTTTACTTTACGAGCCAGTATTCTCTTCTCAAGAAGAACTTTGTTCCATGTAGTTGCTTGATAGTTACTGGGTAATTTTTTGACCAACCAACCACATAGGGAATACAGTATTACTTGTAGTATGTAGATTTAAGAGACTTGATTTTTCACTCTAAAATGGACAACAATGTTGCCTTGTGTTTGAGCAGATGTAGCTTATTTATTTTCTGTCTTCCCTTCACAGTTACTGGTGCAGGCTGAAGTTCACCCTCATCGTCGTTACATGAATGTCAGTGATCCGAAACCTCCCACCATGGCTTCCTCTTCTGCTGCAGCAGCTGCCAGCCCTCCAAACACAGTCAATGCGGCCAGTGCACATACAGACAATACAAGTCCATCATTGGCAGAAGCAACAGTCTCTGATAATGAAAGTTTTACCTTGCACAGCTCCGGACTCCCTACTCCTGACACACCGCTGCTTTTGTACACGCCGCTCCTGGATGATGAAACTTGCAGCAACAGCAGTACTACCAACACACCAGATTATGATCTCAAACTTACACCTAGTCCTGCCACGCCTGGGAGCACAAAGTATCATCTTCTGGGAGCACCTAGTCTCTCCCCTTCACCCACTCCGACCCCAACACTAACGCCAAATTTAGATGGTGAGAACAGCTATGAGAATATACTTACACAGGCAGTACAGTGTAGTGGGGTAAGGTATGAGAATGTTCCAGGACCACTTACAAATGTACATATGTCAAACAGCCATTCCAGTGGAATGTCAGTTTATGGCTCTAAATATGTCAATGTTATGGGTCCACTACAAACAGAAGAAAGGATATTGGTAGATGATACTAGTCCATCATTAGCAGAATCTCAGACTAGGAATGAAAATTTCCCATCCAAAGGGAAAGACTGTGATGTTTATGAACCTGTAACAGGTCAGGGGCTGAGCCTGGAAGACAGTGTTACATACGAACCTGTGAATATTCCACAGTGTCAGGAAGACTGCATTGGTTTGGAGTTGGCTTCAAATTGCAATGAGCAACGTGTGTACCAGAATGTGCCGAACAGCAGCTGTGCAGATGAGGAACATCTGTATGAGGTTCTTCAGGTAAGATCTCTGCAAGCATGGTAGTAGTGAGAGGTTTAAGTTCCGACAATAAAGGTTAAAAATGAATGTATTATTTCAATGCATTCTTCTTAATGAATAATTGAGAGACTTGTTTTTTTGTATTCTGACAAGCACTACTATCTTTCAGTTGAATCCTGCTGCTTCTAGTTCTTCCCCTCAGAAGAGTGCAGGGCATGTGGAAGAAGTCAAATCCGACAATGATGTAGAAGTGTACCAGCAAGTGAAATATTTCAGGCAGTCAATCCATGAAGTGAACCAACTTTTAGGAGAACCAGGGTGTGATGTGATGGACCCAGGTGATAAAACACTAGAGAGATTGGGAGGGAACTGTGATTCAGAAGTGGTTGAGGCAGAAAAGGCAGGAGTAACTCAGGAGTCTGTGCAGACTCAAAGTGGTGAGGTGCCACAGGAGTGTTCATTTGTAGAAGCTTTCTGTGAGAAATTGTCACCAGAGGACTCTGAGGAAATGGAACCTAGTGATACAGGGCAACATGAGGGTTGTTCTGAGAGTGGCAGAGATGGTGAATCTGTGCTTCAGAGTTGTGATATAGTGACAGTGATTGGTTCACAAACCACACAGTGCCAGTCAGCTGAGAATTGTGACGAGGGAAGTAAACGCAGTGATTCTGTGATAGAAGGGCGCATGATTTTGCAGATTAAGACTTCTGAGAGACAGACTTCAAATGACAGAAATGAGTCTGAAGTAAGTCCAGTTTGTGCCTCTGTGGGGTCTCCACAGTTGTCTCCAGAGCATCGGAGGCTGGCTGTCTTGGATCCAAACCCAAACAGGCGGAAATTTGAGTCTGAAATTGGTCGTGATATTCTTCGGGAAAGGCGGATGAGGCAAGAACTGGAGGAAATGAGAATTGCAAACCAAGGTCAGTACTAAAATGACAAACTTAAAGAGGATGGTTAGTAAAAAGTTAAAAAAAAAAAAAAANAAAGTAAAGGTATCCCAGTATCCCTGTAACAAGCTGTGAAGGCCCATAGGGTTGAGAGAGGTTGAGGCTCCCACATTTTCTAGACAATCGGCTTGCAGATGGCAGTAAGGTTGTCAGCCATACGTGCTGGCTGCCCTTTACCCCCAAGAATATTCCTGGTACTCATTTCTGTTAAAGGCTGAGTTGACCCCAGGGGCATAATTCAGCTTGAAGGATTAGATAAATTGAAAAAAATTCACCTAATCGGGGTTCAATCCCACGACTTTCCAACTTATAGCATAGTGTCTCAACCAATTATACTATCCTGTGCCAAAGACGATAATTATGCTCTTTTTCTGGAAGGAAAATTTAACATTGGCCTCTCCATTTTTTAAATGTAAGAGTAAACATATTCAACTGGAAAATAGGTATAACTGGTTACAGAATTTCCTTTGAATAGATAATAGCTAATCACTCTCTCACTCACTCACTCACGGTGCTGAACCCTTCTGGAGAAGCCGCCATTTGCGTAGCTGCTCAAGAAATTCCCAACATTTTATGAAACCCGAAGGTGTATTACTGTGTTCACAGGAGCCCTCCACTGGTACATATCCTGAGCCAGATCAATCCAATCCATACCATCCCATCCTATCTCTGTAAGATTCACTTTAATATTGTTCACCCACCTACACATTGGTCTTCCCAGTGGACTGGCTTTCTCACCAATATCTCATATGCATTCCTCTTGTCCCCCATTCATGCTGCATACCCTGCCAATGTCATCCCCCTTGACTTGATCATTCTAATTATTCTCGGAGAAGAGTACAAGTTATGAAGCTCCTCATTATGCAGTTTTCTCCAACCTCCTGTCACTTCCTCTCTCTTCGGTCCAAATATTCTCCTCAACACCCTGTTCTCAAAAACCTTCAGTTATGTTCCTCCCTTAATGTCAGAGACCAAGTTTCACACCCATACAGAACCACAGACAAAATTACAATTTGTTATATTCTAATTTTTATGTTTTTAGACAGCAGACAAGAAGACAAATGGTTCTGGACTGAATGGTAGCAAGCATTACCTGAGTTCAATCTCCTCTTAATTCACACCTAAATCAGGTTTTGATTTGTTATCATAATTCCCAAATATCTGAACAGTGACACATTTTCAAAACATTTGTTACCTATCTTTATATCATGATTCTCCCATGCATTTTGGTGATGAGACAGCAACATTTATTTGGTTTTCTCTGTGTTTTCTTCTAGACTAACCTCCTTACCAGTGTCAATTAAAGTTTGTGTGTTTCTCTTTATGGTATCTAGATTAACACCCAGTAGATTTACATCATCAGCATAGACCAATAGCTGATGTATCCCATCTGGTTTTCCTAGACCTACCTAAGGGCATATGCTAAAACAAAGTTGAAAAGCAGTGGTGATAAAGCTTCTCCCTGTTTTAGACCATTCTGGACAGGAAATTAACAGAAAAATATTTACCTATGCACTCAATGCAGGATTACTGTGAGTAGTATAAGTAAGTAATAAAATTGCTATGTGACTGGTAAGATCCCCCCCCACCACCAAATTGTTTTACTCTGCAATATTAGTTGATTCTAAAGGGCTCTGACAGTGGTGTATAACACTCAGATTTACTGGGTTTTCAGATGATGGACGAAGTTCCAAAATCCAGTAATTGTCTTTAATATACTTTGTATTTCCTCATTCTTCAGCAATAGCTCCATTAGGTGACAGTTTGATTCATGTTGATCAAGGATTTGTGGTTACAAATAACCTAGNTAAATTGAAAAAAATTCACCTAATCGGGGTTCAATCCCACGACTTTCCAACTTATAGCATAGTGTCTCAACCAATTATACTATCCTGTGCCAAAGACGATAATTATGCTCTTTTTCTGGAAGGAAAATTTAACATTGGCCTCTCCATTTTTTAAATGTAAGAGTAAACATATTCAACTGGAAAATAGGTATAACTGGTTACAGAATTTCCTTTGAATAGATAATAGCTAATCACTCTCTCACTCACTCACTCACGGTGCTGAACCCTTCTGGAGAAGCCGCCATTTGCGTAGCTGCTCAAGAAATTCCCAACATTTTATGAAACCCGAAGGTGTATTACTGTGTTCACAGGAGCCCTCCACTGGTACATATCCTGAGCCAGATCAATCCAATCCATACCATCCCATCCTATCTCTGTAAGATTCACTTTAATATTGTTCACCCACCTACACCTTGGTCTTCCCAGTGGACTGGCTTTCTCACCAATATCTCATATGCATTCCTCTTGTCCCCCATTCATGCTGCATACCCTGCCAATGTCATCCCCCTTGACTTGATCATTCTAATTATTCTCGGAGAAGAGTACAAGTTATGAAGCTCCTCATTATGCAGTTTTCTCCAACCTCCTGTCACTTCCTCTCTCTTCGGTCCAAATATTCTCCTCAACACCCTGTTCTCAAAAACCTTCAGTTATGTTCCTCCCTTAATGTCAGAGACCAAGTTTCACACCCATACAGAACCACAGACAAAATTACAATTTGTTATATTCTAATGTTTATGTTTTTAGACAGCAGACAAGAAGACAAATGGTTCTGGACTGAATGGTAGCAAGCATTACCTGAGTTCAATCTCCTCTTAATTCACACCTAAATCAGGTTTTGATTTGTTATCATAATTCCCAAATATCTGAACAGTGACACATTTTCAAAACATTTGTTACCTATCTTTATATCATGATTCTCCCATGCATTTTGGTGATGAGACAGCAACATTTATTTGGTTTTCTCTGTGTTTTCTTCTAGACTAACCTCCTTACCAGTGTCAATTAAAGTTTGTGTGTTTCTCTTTATGGTATCTAGATTAACACCCAGTAGATTTACATCATCAGCATAGACCAATAGCTGATGTATCCCATCTGGTTTTCCTAGACCTACCTAAGGGCATATGCTAAAACAAAGTTGAAAAGCAGTGGTGATAAAGCTTCTCCCTGTTTTAGACCATTCTGGACAGGAAATTAACAGAAAAATATTTACCTATGCACTCAATGCAGGATTACTGTGAGTAGTATAAGTAAGTAATAAAATTGCTATGTGACTGGTAAGATCCCCCCCCACCACCAAATTGTTTTACTCTGCAATATTAGTTGATTCTAAAGGGCTCTGACAGTGGTGTATAACACTCAGATTTACTGGGTTTTCAGATGATGGACGAAGTTCCAAAATCCAGTAATTGTCTATAATATACTTTGTATTTCCTCATTCTTCAGCAATAGCTCCATTAGGTGACAGTTTGATTCATGTTGATCAAGGATTTGTGGTTACAAATAACCTAGTTAATAACCTTCTGAAGTTTGATAGTCATTTTGTGGAACACTGTGTGGAGCCATGAAGCTTACAAAGTGAAGCAGGAACAAGCAAGCAGATAATCCTTTGTTTTTGAATGCAACTGAAGAGTCTTTTTTTCTTGTCTGTATTTTCTGGTATTGCTGTAACACACTTGAGTAATAGGAGTGCTTGTACCTTTCAGGGAGTGATGGGACCTCCCAGCAGTCACAGAAGCAAAGCAGCAAGTGTAATATTCGAGAACTACTTTCGAAGTTTGAGACTTCTCCAACTCTCGCTCAGCATGGTCTTGATGGCCAGTCCTCTTCTACAACATCTCGCCAGCGGTTCAGCTTCTCCAGCCACGAAACTGCTGAAAACTTGGGCATGAATTCTGATTCCATTACTTCAACCTTAAATCAAAAGCTGGACTCTCATTCAGTCACTGTTTCAGATATGTCTTTGGATACCAAGCCCAATCGAGTCTTCATTTCTGTGAATCCAGATATGTCTGAGAAAGACTCTGGCTTCACATCAGTTATGCCTAATCTGCCATGTCATTCAGGTCCAAGTCCACATGGGAATTCTGTGACAGCAGTACCACCATGTGAGCAAACAGGACTTGCAAAGGCAGCAAGGGGCAAGCTTGCAAATTCAACAGCTTTGAGTGTGTCATTGGGTGAGGGCGAATTTCTTGCTTCCAGTAGTGAAGACCCTGGCCAGTTGGTACGTGTGCAGACTTCACCTGACATAAATGACACACGGGAGCATGAAGATAGCTTAGTGACAAATGACTGTGAGAAGAACAAAAGTGCATCTCAAGTGGGTGGTGTACCAGGGGAAAAAACAGTTTTTATTGCAGCCATAGGTCTTGATGATCCAGAAAGAAGAGAAAGGATAGAGCGATATAAGGAGGAGCGAAGGTTGTTCCTTAGGGAGAAATACCGTTCAGAGAGTTTCCGTGGTGAACGTGATGAGATCTTACAGCGATTAAAACAGAAAGCAGGAAAATCAGTGTCAGGTCCAGCAGTTGAACCTGTGGATATATCTCGTTCCTTTGCAACAGGAAGTGACCGAGTGCGAAGGAACAGTTGTCGAACTACAGCAGATGAAAGAGAGAGAGACATTATGATAGAGTCGCTTCCAGGTAACGAACGGCTTTCTGGGACACTGGAGAGAAGCAGAGAAAGGAGGTTTGGGAGGAGAAGTGTAAGCCCAAAAGATACGGACAGTGAGCTGTCAGGTAAACAGATGTACGATAGTGTGTCAAGCCCTGGACGTCTTGATAAACAATTAGAACTTGGTAGTGATGATTGTCGAAGTGCACGTCACTGTCGTTCATCTACAGGTGATAAACAGAAATTCAGCAGTTCCCCCATGAGTCCTGAGAAATCACCAATTACTTGTGTTACCGTGAGACATAGACTTAATTCTGATTGTATGATTGTCAGTATGGGACCAACTTCAAACCTTCATACTAATGAAAGAGACAGATTCACTTCTAGGTCATCAGGTCCAATCCATTTGGAGGATCACTCTAAACCATCTGCACTTGAAAGTTCTAAGGGGCATGCATTGGAAGTGACAAGACAGTTCTCAAACAGTGAGACAGAACGACCCAACTCATTAAGAACTGCAACTGTCAGGGAAAGTTTAACAAGGTCAGCTGATAACAATGTGATACAAAGAAGAAGCACTGACAAGTTTGAGGGCTCTCCAGAGCACCCTTCTGTGGCGATACGGTTGTCTGCAGGAGGTGAGTTTGTACATATAATCTCATAGTGTCAGCCAGCACAGATTTTATAATGCATTAATGGATATTAATGCACTGTGTACAGGTCATGTTGGTAGCATTGATTTAAATCCAGTGCATCATGTATGGATCCCACAGATCTATGTTTTTGTTAGCCATGTTGTTCTTTACCTCTTGGGTGCCTCTCCAGCCGACATATTGGCTCAAGATTATCGATAGCCTGAAGAATGATGTTGAAATCTAATAATGAACATAGACCACGTGTAACTCGTGCCTATAGATAACTATGTGTAACAGTTCTACCATTCCATCTGCTAGCACATCAAACCACTGTGCGATATGTTGCAGATACTGGCGGAAATAATGGAGCATTATTATGTCTCAGTTGCTTACAGTCAAATTTTGTTACTCTTGATCCCACCAGATACAAACCAACTTGTAGTTCATGCCTTTAGATACAATAAGAATTCAAAAGAGTGCATTCATTCCACTTCTGTAGCTTTGTGACTGACTGTAATATCAAACATGGGTTCAGGTAGAAAAGTTATAGTTATGCATATCCTTTTTCTGATGTATCCCGTGAAGTAGAAACCCTGGACACCGTTGTTGCCACCACCAGTTCAGGTACTGCCAGTATTTGACCTGGCCAATCTCAACAGAATATAAAGTGGAACTACATAGCCCACTAACCAAGATATGGATTGTAGGATGTGGGTTGCTGTGGGACCTTAGTTATGGTAAATCACCCTCCCTCCCTTCTGCAACATCGCTGCAGTCATTACAATGCTGCTACTTTCCATGCTTCATATGTGCAACCCAGAAGCCAGGCCTAGTATCATGGCCTGTTAATGGTCACAACCTTGTCTTGTCTTGTCTTTGCATTACAGTCAGTCACACAGTACAAATAAAGATGAAATTTTTTCATCTCAAACTTAACATTTATTCTGGAGATGAAATCAGAAGGTGTATGGCACAAAATAGATTTGAAAATGAGTGCTGAAATATTTCTTGGAATCAGAAGATTGAATTTAATTTTGGATAACCCTGATAATGTTACGGCAGTGGTCATTGCTGGAATTGGTGATGAACTTTTACAACTTTTTACAGACCAGCCAAATCTCCACCACAGTCATAATTCTCACGAATGCAGAATATTACCTTAAACAGTGAAGTGGTCCAGCATTATCATTTTATGGATTAACACTTTTTACGTCTCATTATTTTGATGGAATAGGATAGAAAGGATTATATGAAAGACTGCTAGTCAACGGCCGCCACAGTGTGCACATCAATTTTCCTTCAGACCATGAGTGGAAACCTTTTTGAGGCTCAGAGCTATTGGGTTTTCGGACTTTATCCATCATCCTTTTTTTTTAAGATAACTAAGAAAAACATGACGTTTCGGAAACTGGATCTGTTGCCATCCTCAAGTGAGGGAAAACACCCAACAGAATAGGTGTTTTCCCTCACCTGAGAACGGAAACAGATCCAGTTTCCGAAACGTCGTGTTTTTCTTAGTTATCTTAAAAATAAAACAGGACGATGGATAAAGTCCGAAAACCCAATATCTCTGTGCGTTATACACCATCGTCAGAATCCTATAGTAACTACTTTTTGAGGCTATTTGGCAAGATCAGCACATCATGACAACAGCCAACACATACAGGACTCAAGCAGCCTGTTTAAAAGTTAACCTGTTTAGGAATATTCCCTCCACAATTTGAGATCAGTTTACAGCCCACAAAGAGAACTGTCTTTAGCTGAAGGGATAATCCCATGGAGTGCTAGTGAGAATGGTGTGTAAAGCTGTATCATGCAAAATGGAAGAGTTGGATGACAACAGTTCTTTCTGTTTTGCAAATTGAGATGGGTTTTAATGGCCACAATTATCAAGAAAACTTTTATAACAGTATAAAATTGTGAGAAAATTTACTGAAAAGAAAAGCAAGAGTTTGAGGTGCCATAAGGACTAATAGAGGAATTCCACAAGATATTGAAAGAGGAATTGAAAACATGATGAAAGGGCAATCATTTCTTCTCAGAACAGGTGATATTTTTGTCCAAGTTCAGAAAGAAAAGTGGGTGATGTGCATGATTAATACAGTTCATGAGTAAGAGTTAGTGAAATTGGGCATGAAAGAAAGAAAAATTTGGAAGCATACTTAGCTGAATCCAGTTCAAATGATGCATGATATCCAGTGAAGAAATAAACACCAAACAGGTCCTTCCAGCCACACTCTCAGGGGACTTCTGCAAACATATACTGGAAAAAATAGATGTATTTTATCAAGGAAAAAAGTATCAAGCAAGGCAGAGTAGGGTTTATGCTTACTTACTTACTTACTCATGGAGCTGAGCCCTTCTGGAGGAGCCGCCAATTCTGTAGCTACTCAAGAACTTCCAGCATTTTATGGAACACGAAGGTTCATTACCATGTTCACAAGAGTCCTCCACTGGTCCCTATCCTGAGCCAGATCTATCCAATCCATACCATCCCATCCTATCTCTCTAAGATCCACTCTAATATTGTCCACCCACCTACGCCTTGGTCTTCCCTGTGGTCTCTTTCCTTCTGGGTTTCCCAGCAATATCCCATACACATTCCTCGTCTCCCCCATTCATGCTACATGACCTGCCTACCTCATCCTCCTTGACTTGATGATTCTAATTATACTTGGAGAAGAGTACAAGTTATGAAGCTCCTCATTATGCAGTTTTCTCCAACCTCCTGTCACTTCATCTCTCTTCAGTCCAAATATTCTCCTCAACACCCTGTTCTCAAACACCCTCAGTCTGTGTTCCTCCCTTAATGTCAGAGGCTCACAAAACTCGTGATGAGAGCTAAGCCAGAAGAAAAGAGACCACTAGGAAGACCTAGATGTAGGTGGGAAGATAATATGATTAGCCTTAAAATGATAGGATGGTGTAGTATGGACTGAATTCATGTAGCTTAGGATAGGGATCATTGGCAGGCTCTTATGAGCATGGCAATGAGCACTGGGGTACCATAAAATGTTGGGAAATTATTGAGTAGCTGAGCGACTGGCAGCTTCTCAAGAAGGGCTTTATTGAAATTCATACTTTTTTTTTCATTTTTTTTTTCATTTTTTTTTTTTTTTTTTTTTTTTTTTTTTTTTTTTTTTGGGTGTATTGGGAATCATATTGTCATGNTCTCCAAAATATCATTTGCTACTTCAGAATGTAAGTAAAGTTGTTCCCTACCTTGAGGAGCAAAATTTTGGTAAAATATCTAGGAACTGGGATGTCAAATTAAAATTAAAACCGCTCACTTTTGCTGTTGTGCACTGGATACAGTGGTAGTTCCAAAAACGTTTATCACTCCACAGATTCTAAATAATGAAGTGTGAGGCCTTATCAAAGTTACTTCCCCGCCCCCAAGAATGTATTTGTGATGCATTCATTTAAGACACCCATTTGACCTGCCACATGTCCAAACATGTACTACATCTTTAAGTGTTGTTTCAGAAATCACACTGCATGATTTCCTTTGTTGATTCTAGGTGAATACTGGAATAATGCGTTTAAATAGGCCCTGGCCTTCCTATTTCTTTCCATTTCACTGGCCAGGTTGACTCAGAGCTATCACATATGTCTTGTATTTGGGACATGCCTGGTTCTAATTTCATTTAGGCATCAGCTGTCCTTGTAGGTTTTTCATACACTTCCTCAGTAATTCTGGCCCAAAACAAAAATTTCATATCAACATGGGCTGCAATGGCTTTCCCCTTAATCCTTCCCATTGTGCTGCATATGATCATACTCTCCCCCTAATCATTGATGAATAACTTCAGTAGTTGATACAGCACCTTACATAACCCACTAAGCAACCAACCCTTCCAGTTTACTATACATAATTATCATCCTAACTAATTTCTGCAGAGTTGATATGATTTCTTTAAGTGTCCTGCCACTCTGTACATTAATTATCCTTTTATCTCCTTTGATTCTTCATGGCTCCCACAGTTTATACACTTGTGTTAAGTAATTATTAGCTGCCCATCCTAACTAGTTGACCATATACAGTGCAGTAGTCCTTGTCCCATTTGAACACACTTGGGAGGTGGCTGGTTTGAATCTCTCCCTGGGCATTCACTGTACTGACTGATGTTTTTGTGATTTTTCTCAGACCGTCCTGGAAAATGCTGGGAATGGTACCTTAAATTGGATCGTAACCATTTCCTTCCGCATCCCTTCTGATTCATTAATGACTATCAGGAAGCATGTGAAACTATATAGCCTGCGTTACTGACAGTGTCAAAATAAACTGCAAATAAACTTTCTAAAAGTAAACGTAAGTAAAGCTATCCCTGTAACAGACTGTGAAGGTCCATAGGGTTGTGAAACATTGAGGTTCCCACATTACCTAGACAATCGGCTCAAAGATGGCAGTAAGGTTGTCAGCCTTATGCACCGGCCGCACTTACTCCCCAGGAAAATTATTTAATTAATTCCTGGTACTCATTTCTGTTAGAGTCTGAGTCAACCCCAGGGCCATAGTGCGGCTGGAAGGCTTAGGCCAATTGAAAAAATCCAATGACCTCATCAGGACTTGAACCTGCGACCTTCCGGCTTGTAGCATAGTGCCTCAACTAACTATGGTACCTTGTTAGAAGTAAAATAATTTCTGCAGTGGTGATGATATGTTTACTGTGAAATGTCAGTCTGTTGCTGAACAATGCTACAACTAAGAAGATTGTACTCTTCACCTGTGTGTTTTTTGCCACAGGAAAATCAGGCGATCCTGACAGGCGCCCTGCTTCAATTCCAGCACATTCACCAGAGAATAGGGTTATTAATGACAGTTCAGGGAGGAGATCATCAGCAGATTTCCCTGTTTGCCAGACTTCACCTTCCTACTGTATCAGAGATATGGCAGCATTGTTTGAAAACCGCAGAGATGCCACAAGTCAGGCCCCTCCTAGACCTGCTCCAACGGGGAAGCAGTATTTATCCTCTGTCTAGGTAGAGTAACATTTTAATGTGTACATTTTAGTGGAGTTTGTTAATGGTGATTGCAGTGTTTTAAGCCACTGGTCTGACACCCCTTCAACCAGTTCTTCTTCCATGAAAATAGATAAAAATCACATGGCATAACATCAGAAGGATATTGTAGGTAAGAAACACCTCAGTATTATCTTGATGAGTTGCTCCTTATGCAGTAGTCAGTGTACCTGGACATTGTTATGTAGGGCACCAAATGCATCTTTGACTGCTCACATGTTGGGATGCATCAAGCAAGCTCTCCCCATTGACTGAGTCAATTATATTCTTGTTTAAGCCCTTGAAACCTTCTTTTCTGAACACAGATCAGAGCCAAAGAACTACATTTTGGTTGGTTGCCATGACTCTCAAAGCTTGTGCAGGCGTATTAGATTCTTATTAAATTGTGGTAAACCTGTAATTGCTTCAATTTTTTTTAAAGCACCAGGTTGTGATTGGTGCTGCCATCTGAGCAAGATAGTATTTACTATCCATGTTTCAGTGCCTGAGTATATCTGTCCAAACATATTTTATTTTTGTCCTTGCATTTCTAGCAATATGAGTAACATTAATTTTTCTTGTAATTTGACTGAATTTTGGTAACATTTAATTAAAATGTGAATTAATATGTCACAATGGGGATCACTAGGAGGATGATGATGAAAAAGGAATCTTAGGGAAAATAAGTTGTGTGGATGTAAACTGGATGGCATTGTCTTAGGGTGGTTGCAGTGGTGGGCTTTTGTAGTATTAATGAGCAACACTGAATGTCGTGAATATATGAATATCAACTATTTGAGAAGTACCACATGCTCTGCAGTTGGTTGGGATTAAGGTTTATTAAATTAGTTGGAAAGAGTTACTATAGTTTGACTCTTGATTTGCTGTGATCATCCTGGTCAGCATAAATCTAAATATAGATGGATAGATCATGCTAGAAGTTTTTAAATAATAGATTATATTCATTCTCTTGCCCTCCATGTACTCCCTTCAAAATTTTGAGTGTAGTTGACTTCTTACAATTATTATGAAATAAAATCTCACTTTTTTCTAAAGAAATTTTCTTAAGCATCATCCCCCTGCAGTCAGATTTTATGTGTGTGCATGCGTGTACACGTGCATTTGTGTTGATACATACACACGTTGTCAGAATTCATTCCTTCATTGTGTACCAAAAATTCTTTCTACAGTATTGTGTAAAAGCTGTTATTGATGAAATTTTGCAATATATTTGCTGTCAAGTGTTATTTTAATGTCATAAAAATTTACAATAGGATTCAGCCTAATGATAAACTTGATGTTATGGGGATGGGAAAGGATTTGAACATTGTTTTATACAGCATGAAAATAGTGAATAAGCTGGTTCAGCATGGAATATAAGGTCTCATAACAGGGACTCACACAATCAGCTCACTGCCTATGTGCTTCTCAAAGGAAGACCTGTATCTTGATGTCAGTCAATAGTTGGGGTTGATGACAAACTCTTGAAATTTACTTGCAGGTTTTGCTGCCTACTAGAGATGAGAAAGTGCGACTGTGATAAGTACCAAGTAAGAAACGTACTAAACCTGCAAAAACAAAATAAAACATAAAAATAAACCCTGCCCCCCAGAATAAAATAGATATGTAATATATTTATATGCTTTTAAGAATCAGAGGCAGCACCTGTTTCTTACATGTACATAGATTCAATATTAGGTGCTGTCTTTTTGGAATGAGAAGGAAATCAGCTGCGATGGATCATTCCAAGCATTATATAATGTCCGCTGCTCTGAAGTTCAGCGAAAGCTCTGTGGTCACAAATGATGTAAGACTCAAGGGTGCTTTTGAAGTACAAGTATGTGAACATTGCTTGAATGGCAGAGTGTATAAGTGTTACAACAGAAAATCCCTAAAAATGGAAATATAATAACAAGTGTTGTGAATGGTTTTTGCCTACTTTGTTCGAAGGGCTAACCTTCATTATAAGTGACATATTATGGGCTTCTTTGCCCACGCAAAGTTCTAGATATCTGCTACATGCTACCTGCATTTGGTACTAGTGTGTGCTTTTCTAACAGACAGAACACATTCATGCATTTTTTTTTCTGTTTGACATGAATGTTTTGAACTTGTGGAGTGACTTATTGTTTTACATATATGGAAACCAACCTCCATTCTGACATTATGATTTTCTGAGAGAGTTTTTCATAAAGCTGGCTCATTGTACCACATTTTTTCACATTTGTGTTCTGTGTATTTGTTTTTGTAATGATATGGTAAGATGGTGTTATTCATCAAATGTCATGGAATATCAACATTCCTCTGATGCAGTTTTGAAGATATTGATAAAACTTGACTTTTAGCATGTTAATTTGTTTTAATGTATTTATTCATTACAGCCAGCGCACTCAGAGGTGACTAGTGACCCATATGAAACATGAATTTTCCTCTCCACATGCTCTGCCTGTTTTTGTAGAGACAGTCACATGTCTGCCATATATGCTGTATTGCCATGACAGTTTATTACAGGTTAATTGATTCAGATTTCATTTATTCGTGCGATAATATAAGAACATTCACATCACATTTAAACAATGTAAGTCACATACTTTTAGTGACAATAACAATTTGTAATGATATTACAATGTAACCACATACTCATTTCAGTGTAATTCACATACTCCTAGTGACAATAATGATTTTTAATGATACTGTGATATAACCACATTCTCATTTTGATCGTGTATTATCTCCTGCTCATGGATGCAGTTTTCCCATTTTTTGAACCTCTTCACTTTTGATTGTGGCTGCTAATACAAACTTTTCACATAAAGGGAATTTTCATATAGTTATATTCACTCTCTCCATTGGATTTTGTTTTGCAAATATGCTTCTAATTTCATTTGAATGTATGCTACACATTTTGAAGATATTGATAGATGGTACAGGATTTGTAACGTCTTAATTGTGTGACAAGTGTCCAGCCTGGCACTAACAAGTAGGACAACAGCACTGTCTTAGGGGTTCAAAACAGCTTTAAATCAGCTGGAGGAAACTTTAAGAAAGTTTGTTATTTTAAAGCTATGTTCAATTCATTTGGTAAATGATGCACAGTCAAATTTGGTTATAGCATCAACCAAAGGACAAGAGAAATTGGGTCATTAGAAACAAGTATCATGCTAGCTTATGAAGGAATTGAATTAGATTTCAAGAAGAATTACATAGGATCATTCTGTAGAGCACTAAATTTCACTTCAAATGTAAACTGGATGTAATAATAAGTAGAATATGCACATATTTCTTGAGGCCCGTTTGTTACTGAAGCTAGTTTTTCAATTTTCTTGGGGAACTGAGAGTACTCAGGGTCACTTCGTATTACTTAAAAAGGGTTGTTGTCACAGAGAGTATGAGAAATCCTGTTAAACATTTTGTTGTCCATGCAAAGAGGTGGGGTGAGAGCAGGGTGCCAGATATTGTTATAAACGAATTTGTTATTCCATGTAAGGCTTTCTAAGAGAAGCAGAAAAGCAAATGTTATATGAAGACTTAATTAGTACCACTCAATGTTACACACTATAGCCAAGTTGTCACTACAACCATGGTCACAATAACCAAGTTCGACTGTACATACATCATCCAACTTGATAAAAGGATTTTTAAATTGCCTTGCAGCAAATTATAAGTGCTTCGAGCTCAAGAAATGGAATACATGTGTTAAAAATAAGAGAATTTATTCTAATTAAAGTGAAGATGAAAAGCTGAGAATTCTGTGGGAATGTTGCATCATGGACTTCCCAGTTGATGTTCATTACTTTAAGGAGTATTTACTTTATTGTCAGATTTTGTATTCTAATCTTCATGATATAAATTCATGTTTTAAATGATCAGATAATTATGTCTTGATACTGATTATGGCAGAATGTGCTTTTCTTTTTGTAAAACAAATAAAGTTATAAGCACATATCTATCAACAAATGTATATAAGATTTCATTTTTTGTAAGTGGAAGCACTTCTGAAAATATATATTAATTATTCAGCTTTTTCACCACTTTAAACAATGTATAAATTAAAATATAGTTTAATCTTTATGATCTCCTATGGGAGAACAAAGATTTGAAGTATATGAAAAGTACATTTTGAGGTGAATATTTGGATCTAAGAAATGCCAAGTGACTCTGAAGTGGAGAATGTTGCACTACAAGAGATTCAGTTTTTACCCTTTATCCAAGAGTGTGAAAGTATACAGGGTACACATAACAGGTGGGTTCAGGAAGGAGATGCAAGTGAAATAATTAAGACTGTGGTGAACTCTTCCCACTAATAAATGAATAGGAATTCATGCATTACTGTTCACTCTTAGGTGATATTCAAATTGGTGAGCGGTCAGAACTGTAGGGCATATGCTAAAGGAATAAACATTCAGTATTAAGGCTTCAGTGATTCATATTATTGCACTCTAAAATATGTATATATGTCAACTGTTTAAAATATTCTTCAAACTCTTGTTGTAATGGAGCACTACATCAAAATAACAGAACAGATCTGATTCTCTTAACACAGTTTTAACATAATTTAAAGACTGTATTTGATTTGTTTCATTTGTTTCTTCATTTTTAAAGACTGTCTTTGTTTTTGTCTTAATTGCAACTGTGTGCAGGAGACACTGATTGGCTGTTGAATGTACAAGTTCAGAATTGTATTCATAATATCCATTCTATTTAATTATGTTGAGAACTGTAAGTCTTACATGGGAAGTGTACTGGATTACTTTATCTAAAACGTATTTCTCTCCAATATAAGTTATACAGAAAATCATGTCATTCATTTTATAAGGACTCTAATATCAAATTTCATTAAAATCCATCCAAGAGGTGTGAAGTTATTCCATGTATCATTATGGACGAATGGACTGATTGAACTTCACAGGCTCTTTGCAGGGTTTTATACACCTTAAAATGTATGCTACAAGGGCCATGTGGGAGATCAGGGCATGTTTGAGGGAACAAGATTAACGTGGAGTTAAAGTAACCTACTTATTATGTGAACTTATCAAGTATGTTAAGCACAATGGACCACTGAGGTCTAAGTGCAAGGGCCGAGAAGGCTTGCCCCTCATACATGCCGAGTATGTTCCTATGGCAGATTTTTGCTGGGAAGATGATGGACAAAAAGATTTTCGAAATTGAGGGAGTTGTAGGTTGGTGCAGTGGGAACTCTCTAGATTTGTATTCAGGATGTGCTTGGTTCATGTCTCAATGGAGACATCAGCTATCCAGACTCAGGTTTCTCATAGTTTTCCTCGGTCACTAAAGGCAGATATTATAGTTCCTTGATTAGGACATGATCCCTTCCTTTAAAATCCTTTCCAATTCATTATTCACCAATCTTCTGACAATGACAGTGTCATAAAATAAACCACAAGAAAGACATATTGTGTAAACAGTGACTATTGAATAGTGAAGACTGCTTCATGAATATACATTAAGCTGTTTAATACAGCTGAGAGCTAAGCCATTTGTTGTTTAGCATCCCAGCCCTCTTTAAGAATCTTGTCTGTTACAATGCCCAAAAAGTTCATAGCTTTAATTCCATTCTCATGTTTCATCTTCTTTGTATCATTAAGTGTGAGGTTTTTCCTCAGGGCAAGGGATTTCTTGCCATTGCATTGGTCATACTCTTGTCCTCTACTGTTTCCTGATTTGTCATTGAGTTGACAGCATCTTTTATAAAAACTCCATGGTTTTAATCTTCAAGCGAACTACACCAACCGAGCAACTGCCACTTGTCGGTGAAATTAGTGCCAACTTTAGCGGATAGAGGGTGTCACCTGGTCAGCGCAGTGAATCCCCACGGCCATTAATTTCGATTTTCTGGACTGTAGTCGCTATTTCCTTGAAATAGCTCCTCATTTATCCTCACGAGGCTGAGTGGACCCCGTTCCAGACCCACTACTTCTCAGAAAATCTGGTAGCGCCGGGAATCGAACCCGTACCTCTGGGTTTGTAGCCAGGAACTCTGACCACAAGACCACAGAGGCGGTCGACAGCATCTTTCATCCTCTTAAACTTGCATTTCTCAGCAATTATGTTATACAGTCATTTGAAGTACACAGCAAAATGGTTTAAGGCTGTGTAAAAATACAGGCATCTCTAAAATGAATACTTGATAACAAAAAAAGAAGCAGATAGACTGCCACTTTATACGAAGGTTTGAACATGTTTATGAAAGTTCTGTTGTGATGTGTTTCTCGAAGGTTGTAGCAGCCTTTAACAAGTTAAATATTTTGCCTACGCACAATACATACATGACAAATTGTTACAGAATTCTTGATGTCAAATTTATGCACTTCAGAATTTAAAATTGAAATTAGGAAGAAAGTATTGTAAAATAATCTTTTGGAGTTTTACTTTAAAAACTCAGAGGAAAGAAATATATTAGTTCTCAGACTCATCTGATAATTGAGCTGTAGGAAATTTATTGAAGTTTGTGTGAGCTATGCCATTAAGACATAGAGAAACTGTCCAGAATCTTAAATATTCTCGGAAATACTAGGCCTAGACATTAACAAGATGGCTTCCATGTAAAGTCTTTAATACAGTGTTCTGCTCTGGCCTCTTGTGTTCTATCATGATGTCTAATGGAACTGTAAAAGCTAAGTCATTTTGTAGAATTTTGTTTTCAATGTTATGTCATTTTAAAAAGGAAACACTTTTTTTACAAACATGTTTACATGCTTTTTAGATTGTGCCTTTATAACAGAATATTAAAATGAAATGTGTTTCATTGTAAAGGATAATACATTTCACATAAATTTTGCAGCTCTCTTACTGCACATGTACAACTTCATGATGAGGAATTTTTTTCACACATTTCAGAAAATACAAATTAAATGTTACCATTGAATTGTGTGAAAAGAAACAAATACCAACTACAAAGGACAGTCGTAAGTATGTGAAATGGAATGTACTGTGTATTTTTGTTAATATGTTTGTGCCATATTGGTAATTGATTGGGTTTTAAATTGTATTACTCCCCAAACCCCTTTCTTGTGTCACAAACATACAAACTTCCATCTTTTAAGAATTATATTGGATGTAATATGCTAAGAAATATAAGGAGCATTTTCTTTCTGAAATCAAAACAATTATTTCATGAACTTATGATTCCACCTTGACATACTTATAGTATTAACATACAAAACAAAAGCCTGCCCTTGTGCTTTTTTTTACAAACTTGTGGGAACATTTCATGAAAACCCTACTTCAGCAACCACTGTTATAATTGCATGCAAGGAGGTGTTGTGAATGTCTGCATTACTTACATATAAACTTGTTTTGATCTTAATTAGTGTTGGTTTTATTGAAATAATTCACATGTGTCCTGTTTAAAAATTGCCTGCACAATATTGCAGCTCGTTTTATGTTTTCAAATAATTTTTGCCTTATTTAAAAAGGTTTTCCCACAAATAATTGTTACTTTTATTGTTTAACTGCCATATATTCGTTGTCTGAATAACTTGGAATAATTTATTACACAAAGTAAATAAAATATAGTTTATGAATTGCATAAAATTGAGAGAAGACTGAATTGTGAAATTACTTATTGTTATTGAGTCCAAGAATTGTTCTTAATTTATTGACCTTCCAAATCAATGATATAACAAAGTATTAATTTACCTGCTGTTTTATATGGTTCTGAAGTAGGTTCTCTTACTCTGAGGGTAGAATGTATAGTATAGCTCTTTGAAGTCAAAGCTCTGTGGATAATGGACCTCAGAGAGATGAAAGTAGGCAGTGAATTCAATTTCATATTGAAGAACTCTGATGTATGTGCTTCTGGTGAGATGTTTTGTTTAAATTCAGGTTCAGACATGGGATACATGATGACATATAAGATTTTTGTGGGAAAGTGTTTGAGGAAATTAAGACTAAAATTTTAAGGCAACATGAAAGTGAACCTCAGACAGTGGTGAAGTGTTCATGTTAGTTGTGTTAGCCCAGCTGGCACTTTGTGAAAAAGCATTACTTCCATTGATACTCCATATAGTGGCAGGATAAGTTATGAGATAATGCATTGTCTGCAATCTCTAGGCAACCCATCACAGGCCAGTTCCTTCAGGATTAAGCTAGCTGTTTGTGAACACAGATGCAATTGGAAGAGACATGATATAATGCAGGCTTATGGGGCATAAAGAGTGCATGAAATTCCAAGCTGTCATATTAGCCAAATGAGGAATTTTAGTACATTTCAGTTACCTACATGCTGACAGAGCTTACAAGGTGTATTAATAAAAGATAAACACGATAAGTCAAATGTTCATATACATCCAAAGTGTGAAAATTTTTTTGTTGCTGACAGGTTTACCTCTTATCATTTTTCCTAATTCTATGTACTTTAGAGTATCAGTCAAAATTGTTTCTTACATACATGCATACATATTTCTTTTAACATCTGAGTCAGTAGTAACTACCTGTTATATATTGTGTGTAGGAACATTAGGGATATTATCCAATTTCAGTGGCCTATATATCCAGTTGATATG